TTGATGGAACGGTGCCTGAGAATATCCATCACTCTGTTGCTTTCTGCAGACTTTTGCTTTTTTCTAGGAAAAGCTATTGTATTATGTTTCCAAGCAGACTCTAAAACATGGCAGCTTGCCCTCTTTGCCTATTTTTTTCCCCTTTCCAAAATAAAATTAAAAAAAAAAAAAGTTATTTATTTATACAAGGCTTTTAAAAAGATGCTTGGTATAGGTAATGTGCAATGACTGGCTTTTGAGTTTGTTCAAACAGGTCAGATGGCTTAATTATTTACCTGTGTATCTGTTTGACTATGACATCTAAACCAGTTCTTGTGCCTGATCTGGTGTGTCTTGCATGGTGACTCTCAAGATACGTTGAGTTTAGCATGTAGAGCTGTTTAAAGACCAGAAACTGTTGTTTGTTGGTTTTTTTTTTCTTTTGTGGAGAACATTGATAATGTCACATTTTCGTTCCTGCGTCCTCATGGATAGCGGTGTCATCCTCTGTGTAGTGGAGCCAATAGAACTATTTTATGCCAGATGTGAACCCTGCCCTTAGTGACTTAGAGTTGTGAATGGTAAGTGTTACTCAAGGAACTGGACAAAAACGGCTATTTACTTAATGATGGCATTTCAGTTGTTGAGTATCTTGCTAAGCTAAACTGACTAAAGTGGACTGCAGGGGGGTTGGAACTCGATGATCTTTAAGGTCCCTTCCAACTCTAACCATTCTATGATTCAATGAACTGTTTGCAGTCTCCCAGAAGACTGCAGTATAAAAATAACGGATACCTGTTTTGTTTGTGTCTGGTACAGATCTAGTGCAGTGCTGATAGTTTAGATCTAAATCACATACTTTGAAATTGAATCGTACTTTTAAAATCTTTCTTCAAGAGAAGGGAGGGATGTTGGAATGGGAGTTTGCTTTACGTAGGAGTCTGTTTCTGTTTAATGAATGGTGCTTAAGCTATAACAACTTTATACCAGGATGGAACAAATATAGTAGCCTGTTGCACTGCTTTCCTAATCCTTTAGTTAAATGTGGTCGTGCTTTCTTCTGCGGTATTGGTGTTGGTGGAGTTTGTTTTCTTTAGCCTTAAATCTTAAGATCTGGTTCCCTGAATCTGCAGTCCTTCTTTAACTTCACAGTCCTGGGAACTTCGCAATCCAGCAGTCTGTTTATAGGACCTTCTGAACAATACAGGATAATTTCAGCAGCTTAATTTTATTTGTGAGGCTCTGGGCCTCACAATATACCTCTAGATATAAGGAAATGTGAACATGATCTCATGTAGATCCATAGTCTACTGTGCCTAAACTAATTCTATGACCCAAGTTAATTATCTTAAGCCAATGCTGTTATTTTTTCACTATATTGCAGTCTGCTGAAGGCTATGAGTACAGCTTTCTTTAACCTCCTGGAACCCAGAGTCCCTTCTCTTGTAAATAAGTTATGAGCAGTCTGGTTTTGAGGAATGCTGTACTGACTTTTCATGCTTGCATGGACACCTCTTTCTGAAACAAGCTTCACTCTTGCTTCTTGTAACTTCTGTGTATGTTTCTAAATACCGTGTGGTGCCCTTTGGGGGAGAGCATGTTCTTCTGCTACACAGGGAGTTATCCTGCATACCACTCTACTGGATTACCTCTCCAGAAAAAAAAAAAAACAACCCAACAGCTACTTAAAATTGCCAGACACCAATATAGGTTAGGGGTGGACCTGCTGGAAAGCACTTCTGAGGAGAAGGATCCGGGGGTCCTGGTGGACAGTAAACTCTCCATGAGCCAGCAATGTGCCCTTGTGGCCAAGAGGGCCAGTGAGATCCTGGGCTGCGTAGGGAAGAGCGTGGCCAGTGGGTGGAGGGAGGTCATTCTCCCCCTCTGCTCTGCACTGGGGAGGCCACAACTGGAATCCTGCCTCCAGTTCTGGGCTTCCCAGTTCAAGAGAGACGGGGGACTGCTGGAGAGAGTCCAGCGTAGGGCAACAAAGGTGATGGAGGAATTGGAGCATCTCCCTGATGAGGAAAGGCTGAGAGAGCTGGGGCTCTTTAGCCTGGAGAAAAGAAGGCTGAGGGGAAAACTTATTAATGCTTCCAAGTATCTAAAGGGTGGGTTGAAGGAGCATGGAGCCGGACTCTTTTCAGTGGTTCCCAGGGACAGGATGAGTTCCAGCAACAAGCTGGGACATGGGAAGTTCCACTCAGATCTGAGGAGGAACTTCTTTGGGGTGAGGGTACCAGAGCCCTGGAAGAGGCTGCCCAGGGAGGGGGAGGAGTACCCTTCTCTGGAGATCTTCAAGCCCTGCCTGGATGCCGTCCTGAGTGATGTGCTCTGGGCAACCCTGCTTTGGCAGGGGAGTTGGACTGGATGGTCTCTAGAAGGTCCCTTCCAACTCTAGCAATTCCGTGATTCCATGAAAGCTCAACTGATTTCAATTCATGACATTGTGTAGTCCCAGCTCTGTATTCTCTCTGCTTCCACAGCATACGTGTACATATATCTTTCTAAATGTCTGAAGGCAACTACACAACCAGTGCAAAAACTAACCAAATATCACAGCAGAATGTCTCTAGCTGACTTTAACAGGGATGTTGTCGTAAGGCCTCCCAGGTCCTTCTCTCAGAAGGGTTGGGGATTACCTTGTGCTGTGTGCCCTTTGCAGGAGGGCAGAGGGACACAGCAGTTAGTGCAGTCAGCTCTTGCTGGACATCCCAGATGCTCCTGCAGAGTCTCCACACACACCTCGAACACGTGCAGCCTCTGAGATTGCAAACGTTACACAGCTTTACCTACACAGAATCTTTAAATGCATTTTTAATTCATTTGCTCACTGGGCCCATTTACAGAATCACAGAATCACACGGGGTTGGAAGGGACCTCTGGAGATCATCTAGTCCAACCCTCCTGCCAAAGCAGGTCCACCCAGAGCAGGTTGCACAGGAACGTGTCCAGGAGGGTTTGGAATGTCTCCAGAGGAGACTCCACCACCTCCCCGGGCAGCCTCTTCCAGGGCTTTGCCACCCTCACAGGAAAGAAGTTCCTCCTCATGTTTAGGTGGAACTTCTTAGGTTCAAGTTTGTGCCCATTTCCTCTTGTCCTGTCCCTGGGCACCACTGAAAAAAGACCAGCCCCATCCTCTTGACACCCTCCCTTTAAGTATTTATAAGCATTTGTAGTAACCACTGAAAATAGTCTTAAGATAATTTCTTAGTTTCATCATTTGCTGCTTAAAAATTATTTGGGCTACCCACCCCATAATCTGGAATTGAACTTTTGGGGTTTTAAGTGCTTTTTGCAGTGAAAATTTGAACCATGTTTGGTTTCTCTTAGAGGAGACTGTGAAGCATCTGGCTGCGGGAAATGAAGTGTGTAGATCGTGTGAGGAGTGAGGTCAGATTCTCCTGCTTTGGCTGCATCACGGTTCCAGTGCAACAACTGCTGGACATAAACAGCTGCTGAGATATCTCATTTTCCTGTTTCCCACAAAGGAAAAAACAGCAGCTGGGTCTGAAGAGCCTGAGATTATTTCAATTATTTCCTGGTTATTTCTACAGTTATCTTCAGTTTCATCAACAGAGTGCGAAGTGAGAAGGAAGGATCCTAGACTATCCATTTTCTTCAAAAAGACTATTTCTTCCATTATTTGTTAATGCTTCTACCCTCAGTCCTGGTCCTAGGGGAGTAAAATATGTGAATGCCCCGTGATGGCATACAAGAAATGCCATCTGGCTGAGAATTTTTGGGACAGGGAGGTTGCTGGTACATCAGCAAATCTGTGTTTGAATTTTCCGTGTTTTTTGGCCACATGAGGTGAAAAAAGGTAAGAATATTTAGCATCAATGCTTTGGCTGCTTCTGGAATAGGAAAGCTGTGGGTGGCTTTTCAATTATCCCATGATTTTTCCTGTTAAGATCTTATTACTGTCTGTAAAAGTAAACTACATTATCAGTTCTGGGGGCTGGAATTGCTATTTTGGAAACAGAATTGTTTTGGATTGCAAACCATAATAGGACTGAATGTCTTGTCTTCAAAGTTGGAATGAATTGCAGATGAAACCTCTAGTGAAGAAAAAGAAAAAAAAAAAGGAAATATTTTGAAATGCTACTGTAAAAGTAATGCTTCGAGGACAGGGGTTATGTCTTGGGAGGTTGGTTTTGGTGTGTTGGTTGTTTTTTTTTTTTTTCTTTTCAAGATTTTTTTCTCCCTTAACCTGAGGAAGAGTATTTACTGTGGAAAAATCAAGGTCTCTGTTTTGATCATTGATTCAGATGGGAGGAAGGATGGAGAGTGGCAGGAAATTATAAAACTTCCGGGTCTCATGAAATTGGTTGGAAATACCTGCATTTTGGGACTTGGACTTTTATAATGGCTCTGTTCAGAAGTGTGGTATCCAGGGACCTCTCAGTGATGAAGTCGCATTGCTTACCGACATCCATCACACATCTTCCTCCTCTCTGGAGAGGGATGTGCAGTGGAGTTCTGGTTTTGGAAGGTAAAGGAGATACATGTGTGTGTGTTTTCAAAGTATCTGCTGTTACATGTTTGTGTTGATAAAGGGAAGACTGAAGTTGTACGCTTGCGGCGAGAGCAGGAGGTCACGAGCTTTTGCAAAGAGAATTGATTTCCAGGGCACTCACACCCCAGTTGAGAACTATAGGGTAATTTTGCCTCTGACAGAGAGCGCTTCTACAGTGGTTGGAACGGGTTACTTTTGTTAGGTGCCAAGTTGTCACCAGCATCTTTGTTTCAGACTTCAAGGGATTTTTAAAAAATTATTAGTATTTTTTAAGGGAGACTGAACTCAACATCTGTCTGAGCCTTTATTTTTAAGGAAGTTCTAGAAAGCTTTCTTTTTCTTAAAGGTAGTAAATTTGTACATTTGGCACATAATGTGTTATAACAGGATATTTTTATATTTTCTGTTTTACTGATTCCTTTTTTCTTTTACAGAAAAGAATTACAGAGATTTCTTACTACTTAACTCAATTTCTTTTTTTTTTTTTACCTTAACATCTTAGGATGAATATTTAAACAACAATCTTCAGTCTTGCTTCAAAATGTCCCTGTGTGCATCTTCTCACAAGGACTTTTCTCAGTTGCTGCCACTTCAGGATATTGGATGCAATAAAACAGAAATTAAAAACTCGCCCGCTGGTCTCGTCTCTCCAGTTCCCTACAGCTGCAATCAGTCCACGCTGACAGCAGCACACAGCCCGGTCTGTATTTCCTCCTCTTACACGGAAAACAGACATGAATACTCCGCCATGGCGTTCTGCAGTCCCGCTGTGATGAATTATAACATCACCAGCAGTTTTGGGGATTCGGAGAGTGCATCCGTGAGGCAAACATCAAGCCCCAGTGTGTTATGGTCTGCTCCTGACCACCTCTCCCCTCTGACACTGCACTGTCAGTCATCGCTTCTGTACGCCGAGCAGCCAAAGAGTCCCTGGTGCGAAGCACGACCGGTGGAGCCGGTGCTACCTGTGACCAGGTCAGTAACACTCATTTCTTTTAAAACCTTGCTGAAAATTATTTCCAGTCCCTTTAGTTCTTTTACATCTTATCTTTTTTACGTTTAACTTCTGTGTGTTGGTCTCTCTGAAAAACAAAACCAAACCAAAAAGCCTTCACCAAACACCACATCAGTCCTGGGGTTTGTGGTTTGTTTTGTTTTTATAATGTAACTTCTGAAATAGGATTTCTTTTTCAATAGCCCGTTAGAGAGCTGTACACCAACACAAAGCACCACAAATGCTTTCAATGGAGGAACTGTGTGCTGTGTATAAACAGAAGTTCAAGACTGCTGCGTATTCCTTTACGTAATAAATGAATTTTTCTCTGGCAAATTAAGTCCTTTGAGAGAAAGAAGTAAAGGTTCCTTCTTTTTTCCTTTTCATACAGCATTGTTTGAATACCATTTTGTCTGAATATTTTTTTTAACCACATCTAATGCTTGTGAACGTTTTTAATGAACTTAGAATTCAAAGGAAATGTGTTCTTTGGTTTTTAGCTTTAATATTAATGGTGACACAGCATCATGCATCATGTCCAAAAGGGTGCTGCTACTGAAAAAGTCCGACATTGTTTCTTGTTGATGTTCTCAACTGACTTCCTGAAGGCACTGTGAACAGTAGATTAATGGGCTATGTTTTCAGCTCTAAAGCTCTAAAGAAACTGTATTTGCAAAACCATGTTCCCATTCTACACTTTTACTCATATTTCAAACTATAAGCGGTGTGTAGATCATCAGCTGGTGAAATTACTCCATTCATGGGTGCAACAGCTGTTGGATGGATAAAAGCACAGGGTGTTGCAGGTCCTGTTCCCGTTTTAGTAGCTGGATGTTTATTCGTAAGGCTCGTTATTTAGTTTCAGCAGTCACTGTCAGTATGAAAAATAGCGTGTCCTGGCAGCAGTTTTAGTTCAATTGTTAATAAAGGATTTGTAGTCTTTTTGAAACCACCCACGTTCTGTCTGCAAAGGGTGTGCCTTTATGTTGTCTGCTCAAGGGCTAAGGCATGAGATCTATGACTACTTCAGAGTTGTAGGCTGCACAGATTTTCCGCCCTGCCACCTGACTAATCTGTATTTGGAGTTGGCAGAGAGAAGCAGAGAGTTCTGGCATGCAGATCTACTTTAAGTGTAGGCGTGTGGATTGTGAGAGGCCATTCGGGGAGCGCTGACACACAGAAGGATTCCCCAAGCAGGCCTAATGTGAATAGGGCTAACATCCAAACTCTTCCCACTTTGATTGATGTTGCAAAACTTTGACAGCCCTGGGAAAGCAGCTGCAGGTTAATGTTTGAAGCCATCAGATGATGGGACAGCAGCTGGAATAATCTAAGAGCAAAACCACCCCATCCGATGCTCTGCGGTGACTCTCTACATAGTGACTGACTCTCTCTGTAGGCAAGAGGGAAGCCAAATCCACCACCCTGGAGTTCAAATAAATAAGTCTTCTGCCATTTGTATAGACTCATACACACTATTGCTTTCGTACTTGATGAGGACATAATTTAAAGGGGAGAAATCAATTAAATGTGGGCTGTAAAATTGGTATAGTTCAGCAGCAAGTTATTACTGTGTTGCTTGGTGGCTGGACCTCCTCGGTGGTTCATCTGCCTCAGTATGATGCGTGGTAACCCCCGTTTTGTGTATTGAAGGTGTAAAAAAGGAAGAAAAAAAAATATATGGAAACACGAAAAGCAAGAGCTATAATTCCCTTCTTATGGATATCTGTCCTGAAATAAGGCTGTAAAGAAAAAAGACCAGTGTTTCTTTTTGCTTTATCCTTTAGTGAGGTCTTAAATTAATGCCATGAACATCATATTTATTGCCATGGGAACAATGACTATGATACTACAGATTTGTAGATTATATCTTGAAGGAAGAGTTGTTGGGACTGAAACTTAAAGGAATAGCTCCGGGGGAAGGGAGAGACTAAATCGATAAACTCTAAGTAAATTTAAACAGCATTGTAGTTTGACAAAAGGGATTTTGTTTGGAAAATGAGTAAGAAAACATTACTACATATTCAGGCCCGCTGCACAGTTTATATTACCTTTCAAAATAAAGCAAGGGTCTCACTGTGAGAGGAGTTTATTTTTCCTGGGTGTAAATTTATGTTCACATTAGTGAAGTGGACCACATCAGTTTAGCTAAAGTTGATCAATGTGTAATTTGGATCTCCTTGTAGATCTGCTTAAAATAAGGATTTTCGGCATTCCCTTTCCTCACAAATAGTCTCATTATACAAATACAGAATAAATTTATTTAACTTTATTTAACTTTGTTAAATGCAGATACTCTGCAGCAAAGTGTTACTTTGCACCAGTAGTTCAACAAAAATGAATTGTATTCCACGTAAAAATAGACAATTTTTTGAGGTTTTTTTTGGAGTACTTTTATTTGTAAAATGGTAATTTTGCTGATAAAGACTCTGCTATATTTATTGGCACTATAGGTCCTGTACCTTGTGAAGACAATAGTCTATTAGTGCAGGATCACTCCGTTTATATCAAAATGACATGAAGAGAAAAGGAATGTGACAGTGTAATTGTGTTATATTTAAAAGCAATCTGAAATTGATTTCTGTCTTCATCCCCTAAATAAAAGGTTTTTAATTAAAGAAACATGAGGTTTATTTTCAAAATGAATAGATATACTACTTTCTAAAAAGTATCAGGAAACTTTAATGAAATTGCCGGAGTGATGCTTCTGGAACTTAATTTTTTCTTCCCTTCTATTATTTTCCTTGTACTTCTGACTGATTGTAGGTAAGGCATGTAAGTAAAGGGGTTTGGGTGCATAGGATAGCAATGCTTCCTTAATGAAAATTATTTAGGAACTTCATTGTCTTATTCACTGTGTGCTAGTCCTGTTACACTGGATTGAATTATCTCTGGGCACTGAATGAGCCAGTGGCCCGTGGGAGGGAGGGAAAAGTTGTAAGTATTATAAAATCTGGACTTTTAATTTCTGACTTAATGTTGGGGTTTAGTTTTATTTTCTCAGTGGATTTTTTTCTCTCTCTTTCTTTTTATTATATACAGTAATTAGGTTTTTAAAAAGCCTGACAGACAACAAATGCCATGAGCAAATCTTGCTACTTTCTAAGTCAAATCTTGCTACCCTACTTCATTTTTAATAAAAAGGTGAATTTATGTTCACGTTTTCCAGGTGTGGGATACGCTACTTGCTGTGGCAAAGCTAGAGGTAATTAGGAGGCATGACAGATACTGAATAACCTAAATAGTCTTGCTGATTCCTTCTCTGTAGAGTAATCATCCCTGTTGATGACCAGAAGGAATTCAATGACTTGTTACTTTCAAAAAGATCTTCATTCTTTTTATGGAAACAGAATATCTCTGTATAGAAACCATGATCATAAAATAGAAAGGACTATCAGGAGGTGTAAAGCAACAGATCTTTGCCCATCTGGTTCCTGGGTAGCAGCCAGGCTACATGCCCCATTTTCCTGCATCCTTTGGTGCAGGAGTGTGGTGGGCATCCAGCCAGCTACCGCCAGTTCCTCTGGAGGACCTGGCAGCTCATTCATCTGCTGAACATGCTGGAGTGCCCTAGTCCCAAGAGAGCTGGGAGGTGATCTCTGACCACATGTGGGGCTACCTGCTCCCGTTTGCTGTTTGCGTATCCACATGAGGATCCTCAGGGTAAGGAAGGCTCTTGGCTATTTCCTAGTTCTGTTGTCCTTTAAGAGAACAGTAACAAAATGATTGGTTTTGCATCCCCTGCTGTGCTGCCGCAGGGACTGGGGATGAACAGATTTGATGGCCGTTAGGCCTGCAGGAGGAGTTGGTTCCAGATTGTTGCTCAGTGTGCAAGCTGCTCGCCACAGCCTGCGCAAGTCACGTGTCTCGCATGTGTGCGGGGCGACTGTCGTTCCACTTTTAAGCAAGCAAAGGAAAAAAAAGTGTTATTTAAAACACTTGTCACTTTACTTGGAAAGTAAAGAGCAACACTCCTCAGTGAAATGTTATGGGTGTGCTTTTCCTTCATTTTCCTCCGTAGCATCTTGGTGCTTTAATGAGGACAATAAACATCACGCTCTAGAGCATATCAGTGAGTTTTACCTGGGATCCTCTCTAGCTGATTTTGATTCTCTCCTGACTCTCAAAATTGGATCTTGATTCCCAAGTAGAGCTTAAACCTCTTCTACTAGTGTGAAATGCCAAATTGCTTCTTATTCCAAATACAGGGAAGCAGGAAGGAATAGTCATGCTTTTTCCTCCTTGCGTTGGCAGCACATTAGGCACGTGTGATGCAGTCCCTTCATTCTAAGGGGAGTTTCCCCAGTGTGGCAGAAGGGGCAGTAACAGTGGCTCAGCAGTCCATTAATAGGTGTGTGTAATCAGAAACTGGGCTTGTTAAACATCTAAACACCTTTATTGCTTGCAATATCTCAATGAATTTACATTTTTTTAAAAGCTGGCAGTTCAGTTATTTAATTCTACTCAAATACCTTAAATTGAGAATTTAAATTCCAAAACAAATTTTTTCTATTTTGGAATTTGTTCAGAGGATCACCCTTTTCCTTTCCAAATTTTCTGCGAGGAAATTGGACAACATTCTCCTCAAATGTATATAAACTTGATTTTTAGCTGGCATGTGGATGTGTTTGTCCTTACCTGCTGTAATGAAACCAGCACAAAGTCTACTTCTAATATGTTAGTTAAGGCCTCTTTGACGGCACTTTCAGCGCATTTCTACTGTTCTCTTTAAACTTGCTCCTGTTGGTGAACAGGTTTCTTCTGCCCTGGCAATGTACCTTTGTTCTTTAGAAGTTGTAAACCCTGCTACCTGCTGTCTTAGCCCCATTGATTCTTCTTTTCCTCCCTAAACCTGCTGGAAGGTGGGATGAGGAAAATTCTACAGTTTCTAACTTCTACCTCTGTGCTTAAGTTTATACCTATAAGTTGACTTTACAGGTTTCCTTTTGTCAAACTGCTGCTGAGAGTTTGCACGTGACACTGTATTCTGTCTATCTAGAAATTGTACTGACCATGAAGGTAAAACATGCTAAAACCACCAAGAAAATGAGGTCCAGAGAAAAGATACACAATGGGTGCGTTTCCTATACCTAAAACCCACTTTACTGATAATCTAAGTTCCTTTCCTCTTGCTGTTTGTTTACAGGGTCTAGGTGTCAGGAATTGGCTGTTATTTCATGTTTTTTATCCTGTTCTAATTTTAATGCAGCTGCTAAGAATAGTTCCAGTAAGTTGGAACTATTTTGCACTGCTTTAGAAATTAATATATCTTATTAATTTATATGGAGCAATAATTTTTTGTGTACGAAAGCATTTTATTAATCGTGTTTCTCCATTCTTCTTGTATTCAGACTTTGATACAGCATTAGGGTGATCAACGTGGGTCATCACCTTGAACAGAAAACTTTGTCTAACATTGTGAGTTGATCTTGCAGGCTTAGATTTTGTATCTCAATATGTTTGTCTCCAGCATCTCTTTGAAGGAATAAAGCCTCATTGAAAGGATGAAATACTTGAGACTAGATAATGTATTTCTTCAGCTAAAATTTACCTTTGCTAACAGTGCAAAGCACCTGCAGCTATGTTTGTGGTAGTGTTTATCATGTCAGTTCAAGCTGTCTGAGCTTGTATTTTCCATGCTAAGCTTCCAAAGGTAAAGCCCACTCTGTTCACAAATTCCCAGACTTGTACATTCCCAGATCCGTTAACGTTCCATGTGATTTTTCCCAGAGTTTGTCTGAATGGCACATCAGCAAGTGAGTCTTATGCCTTTGAATATATTAAAACTTTATAGTCTGTCATCATTGAAAGCCCTGGGATCAGACTATGTGCTTTCAATAACCTTATCAGAAAAAGGCATAACAGCGTTTCACACTGTCCTGTGTTCAGTAACAAGATGACTCTATATAGAGAGTGTTGAAGACAATGAAAAATAATGAAACTCTTTGCAATCTGGATTAATTTTTTTCCTGTTATAACAGATGTTTTTCTTTTCTATCAGAGAGACTTTAAAAAGAAAAACTAACGCGAATGACTGTGCAAGCCCAATTGCAAATAATCCTGGCTCAAAAAGGGATGCCCACTTCTGTGCAGTCTGCAGTGACTACGCTTCAGGATACCACTATGGGGTCTGGTCATGTGAAGGCTGCAAAGCGTTCTTTAAAAGAAGTATTCAAGGTAGGAGAACCAGCCTTTGAGAGCTTTGCTCAAATAAGTTGTTTCGTATGATAAGGGGCTGCGGTGGTAGATCTAGTAATGAGTTGATTTAAAATCCCTGCATGTGGTGCTGCTTGCTGAAAACAGCAACACATGATTTGACTACTTTATCTTTTGGCTCTTGTGTTATCGAGATCTGGAAACACTACACAGTAAGCAATTGATTTCTTCAGAGAAGAGGTGGAATACATAGCATGGGAAGGCCCTGCAGTAGGGTCTCGGTGGGATGGCACTGCAGACCTGAGAATCTGAGTGCAGTTAGTGTCCCAAAGTAGACATGGTAATTGTGAATTTGTTACAACAGACACAGAGTAGGTGATTGTCTGGAGACTTTGCTTGCTAGGAACTATTCTGGACAATAATATATTGCCTGGAGCTGTTCAGTCACAGCATATAACATCTACACAGTATGTAGGATATAAAAATATGTCTTGTAAATACTAGGTACAAATCTGATTATTGTTATTTCTCAGCCCTCCTTCCCCAGAGCCTACATTGCAATATTTCTTATCTGCTAGATCTATGTAAGATTTCCACTTCAGTGTTTAAATTCTTAAATATTTAGTATTTAGTTCAAATTTTCAGAGTGGCTGCAGTATGAAAGGTAGGTCTCTATGTTTGTTATCACAACCTATGGGCGTTGCAACTTTGGACCACTTAATTTCTTTAACCTTGGCTCTAGTTATCATGTTCTTTGGCCTCATCTAGGGTTTCTTGGCAGAAATTTAATTGGATTGACATTGGATACTCCATGCAGATACTAACAGAGAAACTCTTGTCACTTTTTGGTCTATAATGTTCCCTTGCTCTTCTGCACACAAAGCATTTGGCAATTTTGAGATACTTTCTTTTTGACTCAATGTGGCAGAGTAGGTGTCACCATTAGATTCAAAGTTAATTCAGAACTTGTTTGCCTTTTCAATTTATTATGCAAGTTCTGCAAGGTTGAATAACAATTACTGTAAACTGGTGCAAGTTCTTTTGATTTCTAAAATAATTGAAGAGGGCTTTGCTCCAGTTTGTCACAAATGGAGACTGAATTTGGTCTCAAAGTGTTTTCTGTCAGGAAAATTATTTGCCTGCTCTACTTTGCTCACACGTGCTTTGGCCATGAACAAGTTACCTGTTGTGGCCTTTTGTACACCTTAATGTACCCTGTCAGGTAACATTTGCTTGTAATTCAAATAAGTGAAAGTAAGTTCTTGGCAAAAAGCACCATCAAGCACTCAGTTGCAACTGTTGTTATGAAGGATATTGCCTATAAAAATAAAACAACTGGGCCTACCATAGACAAAAATGTTGGGCTAATGTCTAAGGAAAATTTGCTGGTATGGCTGAGAAACTGTGTGTGGTCTATTCTGCTTGTCCAAGTTTATGTTGTGGTGTATTTGTCCCACATCTCTGAACATCTGCCTGCAAGCTAAATTATCCCAAGGCCACAGGAGTTTTAAACTACTTTATAGTCCTGTGTGCTTGGGTTATAGTGCAAGAGAGAGCTTCCTCCTCCTTTCCCCCCATGTTGTGTGAAGGGTGATAAACAGTAATTTGTTTTTCAGCCATATCTGCCAGTAGGAAACAGGACAAATTGTAACCTGATATCTTCTTTTTCAAATTGTGGGTTCAAAAATTCAAGGTTAAAATTATTTTAATTTTGCAAGGAAATAGTCACAATGGTTCAGTTAAATAATTACTCTTGGGGACATGAACTCTTGGACTGCCATCAAGTAAAAAAAAAATCTCTAGTAGCTCTAACTTTGCCTGATTTATTCTTAAAGTTTGAAAAAAAAACAACAACAAAACAAACTTGAAAAAACAAGAGAAGAGAGATTAAGAAATTTAAATGAGTGGATATTTTTTGCAGCCTGTGGTAACTACTGCAAGAGAGATTTCCAGTATTTAGCAGAAGGTGATTCAACTGTACTTACACCAAGAGCATACTCAAGTCCAGTTTACAGTAATAAACCTTTGAAACAGAGTATTGATTAATGAAACACAATAATAGAAAGGGGTTTGGCTGGGGACAAAGTGAGGTGGGAGAGGAGGAGAAGACAACAGAAGAGGCTGAAATAGAAACTCATGAAAATAAGAGAAACATTTGTCCAAAATATCTAAATGTTAGATCTCATGCTCATGCTTTTTTCCATACTATACAGTATGCATTACTTTATACTAGTAATTCTAGTATAATTCTAGAATATATAGAATATATCTAGAATATAACTATAATTCTTTCTCTCTTGGGCTGCTTTTTTTTAATTGACTTTGATCCAGGGTCAGTCCTCCAAAGGCTTCTTCATTCCTGGAACTCACCACGTCAGAGAGAGTTCAGTAAATAGATCTGCAGTTTACTTAAATCTTTTCAGGAATGTAGCTGTGTCTATTGTTTTTTTTTCAACTCTGCTCAGGCTAAAAAAAAAAAAAAAATCTACTATCTGCCACCTGTAGAATACTAGTATACAGTAAGAAGTTGGAGATTGGGAGCAAATTTCTACAAGGCAAATTTCTACAAGACTGTATGTCCCATTTTCAAAAATGACTTGGCATTAGAAGGTGCTTGGTTATCTTAGTCATCACTAAGAGCTGGTCTGTGTTGTCTGGTTACTTTTTGAGGTCACAGATTAATGTTTTCAGTATAGGATAAATACGCATTTTTTGGAATGAGTTCAATCCACGGAGTTTAGATATTCTCATAAGAAAAAGTTGAGATGCTTAAAATTATGAAGGTTCTGATTAGGGAAATGACCAAGAGAAGCTGTTGGAGATGTTCAGTTTCCTGTTTTATACTCTGCTGCAGGACACAATGATTACATCTGCCCAGCTACCAATCAATGCACAATAGACAAAAACAGGCGCAAAAGCTGCCAGGCATGTCGGCTACGGAAATGCTATGAAGTCGGAATGATGAAATGTGGTGAGTTTTGTGTGTCTGTGTTGTTTGCTTGAGTTTTGATGGCTTTTTATTTCCTTTCAGTCAATTCTGTACAGCTTTTCTTGTTTTCCCCTTGAAATCCTAAAAAGGCATAACAGATTTAAGCTTGTTTAAGAATCAATGCATTTCTTCCTATAAAAGTAGAAAATGACTTGTCATTTTGAGAAAAAAAACTGTAGGAAGGTGTAAGGTGTAGGTTCAGGACAGGAAAACTATAGTACCTCTGCAGAGCTCTGTGAAGGCAGTTTACTTGCTGCCTGAACCTCAAGCCAGTCTGAAACCCCTTCAAATATGGGATAAATGAGCCTGCACCATGTCCTGCTGGTTGAATGTAAGGCAAGAAGCAGTGAACAACCACAGTTTGTCACTGTACTGCTCAGAATTATCCAGCCTTTTCTCTTATTCCCGTCTTGTGCTTACAGTGATGTGAATTCCCTGTAGTTGTACATTTATAGATGATATTTTAAAGGTTACTTTTAAGAAGAAAATAACTTAAACAGTATTTCAATGCCTAATGTACACTCACAGCCAAGGATTGTTGTTGTTTCTTATAGATTCACCAATGTACATGATAGAAATAGGCTGGGAAAACATCACATAGGAACACTGGAGGGGAAAGGAGAAGGTCACTGTGCTTGGTCCTCTCTGATTTGTGGGCATTCATCTCATTTCATCCTATTTAATGTAGATTATTTCTATTTCAAGACGAGGTGGTGTTTTCATCCTCCCACTGCTTTGATCTGAAGGCTGTTTGCAGAATATTATTTCTTTCATTAGGAACATTCTTCAGAATCCAAGCCTGCATTTATTGCTGGACAATTAATGCCCGTTTGTTCTCATGGCAACATTGTCTTCTAGCTTAGAGACTTCTATTTATTGGTAGCAGTCTGGTCTGGTTGTACTTATGGACTGCATCATATCCCCTCACATATATTAGCCTCATATTAGGCTAAATGGACCAAGAAATCTCCTACTCTTGCAAAAAAAAAAAAAAGAGTAGACAGAATCTGGATGTCGTCGGGGTAGCTTGTCCCTCAATCTGCTCCAGGCTCAAATAATCTGTTTTGCACTTGGATGACCAGAATCTTGGACAGTATTCCTGTGAACTCCCCTCACCGTAGTGGCATTAATACCGATCTGTTGCTGCAGCAGCTTTTCTCTGCGTGCAACCCCAGATCCTATTTGCCTTTTTCATGGTTGCATCAGGCAAACAGTCTGTAACCGTTCTACGAGCTGTTACGGTTGCAGCCTCTCTGTTCATTTCTTGCTGATAACTCCCAGCTTAGAGCTACAATTTAAATTGTACCTTGTATTAATTTTGTATTCCTGAAGCATGTTTAGTTTCTGTTACTCAAGTCAGCTAGTTCTTTCTATATGAAGCTCCTGTCTTCCTCTGCAGTGATGATGCATCTCAATTTTATCGGTGTTTTTCGTTAATACAGTCTTAGCTACCTTTGCTGTCTGGCAAAGGAAGAAGCTTGCACTTACTTATGCTTGCAAAAGAAACTCCTTTTGAAACTTTATCTTCTGAATGGTGTCACTGTCTTCTGTTCATCTTTATGACTGAGAATTTTACTCAATGTGTAAGTTTTCCCAACAGGGGTTTCTATCCAACACCAGTTCTGGAGTTGGAGAGTTTTTGTAAATGCTGATTCCACTATGATATTATACGGTCATCCTCCATGACGCTTTCCTTAAATTACTCCTTTTATTCTAAATGTCCAGGAAGTTCTGGTCTGTGATTAGACCTCATAGGCATTATGGTATTACAATTAATAAATAATGATAATATGTACTGTGTTCCTTTTAGTCTTGTCACATATTCATAAACAATATTTTCATACAATAGTAAAGGTTTATAAGACGTTAATGACTATACCTGGCCAAAAATTACTTTGAAACTATAGTAGTAAAATAACAGGAATTGTAGTTTTTAAAGATCAGGGGTTTTTAAAATAGTAGCAGTGAAATTTGAGAATCTTAATTTAATTTGAGAATCTTAACAATTTAATTTGAGAAAAAGGAATATAAAGATTACTCACAATTGTCTGAGTTGCCTGATAAGTGAAGAGGCACCTGTGAGTAAAACTGATGCATGGACCCACAGGGACAGACATTTAAACCAGGCAGATTTTAAGACTGTATTTCTTGCATGAAACATAAATGCCATTTCCTGCAGACTGCAGTGATTATCTTTCAAATTCTTTCTTGTTAGAGCCATGCTCTAATACCAGGTTTTTACTGTAAAAAGCCATTAAAAGAGCACATTTTCTTTTTAATGAAGGCTTTTCCCTATCTCCGGTTCTTTGCCAGGTCACTTGGTGAATGCAGTGGTTCACATCTGCTAAAACCCTGGATGGGATAGAAGGGTTTGTAAGTGCATTTTTTGCTCAGTGGAGACTTGTTGTCCAGCAGAAGTGATAAAAGAACCTCAATTACCACTTTGTAGTTTATGAAAGCTCTTCATAAAAAACCTGCACTGTTTGCATCAAATCTTTAAATCCTCATTTTGCATATTATCAATAGTCACCTTGAGGAAAAATATATGCGTGTGTGTGTGTGTGTGTGTAACATACATTTCTGTGTGTAAATGTGATTGGGCAGTACACACTGCCTTTAAAACAGTAAGAGGCAATAGGAAAGTGTTGCTTTGGAGTTTTCTGGTCTGAAATTCTCTTAGATGTCACTGCATTCAGAAACGTTGAGAAGTCAACCCAACAAGCCGCAGCTATTTCAGCAGAAGCTGGCTTGGGGGTGCTTTGTATTAAGGTGGTAATGGATTTTCTTACAAAATATGCCATCGTTGCCAAAAGCACAATGAAGGTCTTAGACACTGCATCTGCAAATTTCTCTGTAGGAAGTCTTTGTTGTCTGCTGTTCCAATCAAGAAAGCTACTGCTAAATTTTGGCACTAGGACTGCTATCAATGGTAGAAAAATAACTGCAAAGCGCTGTCGCCAGGAAAAAGGAAAACAGAATTACTGCAAATATATTAAAAGTAAATTCTGCCCAGCAAACTCAAATAAGACACATCAGGATAAAATGGATCTTCTCTTGGAGCTTTCTGGTGTTTACCCAGGGAGCCTGAAATGGTCTGGGCTCTTTGCCCAAGGCAGTCTAGCAGAGGGGAGTTGCTTTATGGTTTAGCTCTAGACCTTCTGGGAGCACCTATGCTCATACTTCTCTTTTTGCATCCTGAGGAGCAAATAGACCTTCCATAAGGATTTTTCAGTTTCTGTCTTGGTGCTGGACTTACTTATTTCCCCCACTCTGCTCCTGTATCTTTTTCCCTGGGTGCCAGTTCTCAATGTGTTGAAAATTATCCAGAGATAAAGCTCCTCTCAGCCCCTTTCCCACCCCAAATGACGGAGGGGCCATACTAAAAAATGATGGATAGACACTGTCCTTGAATACTGGCATAATTCCACGAATTTGCAGAAAGAAAACCAGACTTTTCTGTGGGCTGATACGGTTCAGGACTTGGCTCTCTTTTTCTCCTGTGCTTGGCTGCCACGTGCAGTTTCTAGACAGCACCTTAAAAATACTGCAAAATACATCTCACACAGAAAGGAAGGGGGGGGAAAATGTTTAATGAAATTCTGTAGACGTCAGATGTATTAATTGTACTTAGGTATTATAGAAATTACTGTAATTTCAGCTCATGTTCTCATGTGTGTATGGCAGACAGCAGCTTCTTTGTCAGTAGGTCTACTCTGTGAAGAAAGATGCACTCACCAGAACATATGCATTTGCTTTCAAAGGTGACTGGAGTGATAATGTATATGTGTGTGTATATATATGTATATATATACACACACATATACGTATATATACTAATGTATACCTGAGCAAGTTTTTAAGCTCAAACACTTAGAAAAACTCATTATAATATATTCAATGGTAGAATCTGCAGTGGCTTCTGAACTGGTTAGTTACACAGAGAGTTGCCAGGGACCAAAATCAATTTGAAGAGCAGTGTGCTGTATAACTGCCCACCATATCAGACAGCAGAGGCATTTGCAATTTTTGGAGAATTTGTAAAGCAGGAGTTGCTTTAAAAATAGTGTGTTTCACTGCCAATAATACCTGCTGTGGCTTGGTCACAGGCGAGTGAACAACAGACTCATTTTAATGATTTTTTTTTTTTCCAATGTGTCATATTTCTTATGATCATTTACCCATGTGGTCAGTGGTTCTGTGGCTCGAGGTCTTGCCCTTGATTCAGCATCCTCGGCTGAATACAGCTCTTTTCTTGCACAAAGAATAGCTCTGAATAAGGAGACTGCTGTAAGAAGACTGAGGGATTTGATCACCTTGTGCACTTTTCAAATTGCCTGAATTACCCTTATCTGAGTGAATATTAGCTCTTAAGTATAGTTGAGAGTTTGGGGTAAAGTGAGAAATAATCCCTAATCTGGGAAGATGCAATTGTTTTATTGCTGTGCTTTTACACGGATTGATCCACAACTCTCCACCTAGTTAAGCCAAATATTAAGCTGGTCTATAATTATTTATAATATATAGTTTTATAAGCACTTACACATGCCTGTTGGATGCTAATAGATGTAGAGGTAAAATTTCTCAGTCCTGTCTGAACTTTGGATTTGAATAAAAAGCACAGAATTTCCTATATGTTGCTGAAATGTTGCTTTAACTGCAAAGGCTGCTGCTTTCCGATGTGTCAATTGACTGAGAAGCTTAAATATTGTTTTTTTAGTTGTGTAATCTTACAATGCACTCTTTTTTTTTTTTTAATACAAGCAGAATAAATTTTAATGTGGAAACACAGGGTACCTCTTGTAGTTAGGGATGAGCTCTTTTATGCCTACTGTTCACACACAAGTGAACGAGCCTTTGCCTGCTTTGGCAATATATAGTGACAAACAATAATTCAGAATCTGGTTTGGTTCCCTCCCTCCCCCTCCTTTATTTTCATCACCATCTGTATTTTTTTAGTATCAAGTTTTTTTTATGCAGAAATGTTTTAACGCTCTTTGTTTGGCTTTCTGATTGTGATTACAGAAACTTATTCTGTGTTTTAAATGGAGTAGTTTTTAAAAATAAGTTATGTTATATGGTTATATATGAAACTTGATTTAGTTAAATAACATAAAGTAACTTAAAGGGGCTTGCTATTTCCCAGTAAGAAATCTCCTCAAGTATTGAGACCTTTAATACAGTCAATAATATCACAACCTGACTGAATTATTTTAAGATGGAGCATGGAGTGCAGCTGCACAGATGAAAATTGTACAAGACTTATCAATTCAAACAGATGCTGGATTACTATTTTTTAATAATATTTAAAATTTTACTGATTTCTTTGTTTTTCTTCAAATTACGTGGTTGCTTAACGTGTGTTTTTATTTTGGAGAGGCTACAAACTGTTAATTTAGAAGTCTTTACAACAGCTAATTGGAAAGGATAACTCGCGTCTCGGCCTCAATATTTTCCGTGCCACACAGAAGTCTGGGTGACAGTATGATAGAGCTGGGACAGCTGATCACAGGATGTGGAGGTTCACGAGAGTGCACTTGCTTCACTTCAGTGCCAGTAACTAAACCAGGGACAATGAGCTGGTTGTAAGTGCTTGCTTGACCACATGTTGCTTCTGGCAGGTGTGTCAGAATTGCTGGAATTTCTTCCTGATTGTGTCATCAGGCATCTCCTCCTCTCCCCAGCTCCCTCTTAAACCAGTAGTTCTTCTGATGTTCTCTTTTCAGATATGGTCCCTAACTGAACAACTTTTCCATGTGTTTAATTAAAAGGCTGCTATCCGTGTGTCATCTTTTTGGGGCTTCACAGCTCCACCAGGTACTGGAGAGTAAAAACTATGCATGTTGTGGAGCAGTTGGTATTTTTTGCTAGCCCAAAGAAAATTTTTCCTCTGCCTTGCATCTCCCTATGGCTTTTAGTCCTTCTGTGCTATTTTTCTTGTTCTCTCCTTCAAGATGAAGATTTTTCTTGTTCTTCTCTCAAGTCTGGAGAATAAATCTTATGAAGAGCAATTGAAGGAGCTGGGACTGTTTAGTTTGAGGAAGAGGAGGCTGAGGGGAGGCCTCATCACTCTTTACAACTACTTGAAAGGACATCGTAGAGAGGTCAGTGCTGGTCTCTTCTCACAGGTCATTAGCGATAGAACAAGAGGGAATGGCTTCAAGCTGCATCAGGGTAGGTTTAGACTGGACATTAGGAAGAAATTCTTCACAGAAAGAGTGGTCAGACACTGGAATGGACTTCCCAGGGAGGTGGTTGAGTCATCATCCCTAAGTGTGTTGAAGAGTCGTTTAGATGTGGTGTTGGGGTATATGATGTAGGGGAGAACTTTGTAGAGTCGGGTTGATGGTTGGACTTGATGATCCCAAGGGTCTTTTCCAACCTGAATGATTCTATGATTCTATAAGATGACCATGTTCAATGTGCTTCAGCTTTCTAAATAGTGGAAATGATGTGAGGTGGTGTTTCTTGCTTTAGTTCAGTTCTCTCCTGGTGGTTAGGATCTCTGCCACGCACATTCATATGGATATCAGAGCCATGGAGATTGCTGTAGGTAGATCACCCTAGGAAGTACCTAGGCACTTCCTCATCTGTCTCCAGTTGTACTTTTGTTCCAGCTCACTGTCAACCTTTCCTCTTTATCTTCTGTGGTGGAAAATATTTACATACTTTCTGTGCATGACATGACTTCAGAAGAGTCTGGAGCCCATTGTGCCATTCTAATGTTTTTCTGAAGCTGACAAAGCACTTCAAGCTTTTCCTCTTGACCTTTGTGCATTAGTCCAAAATGAGGCTTAGCACAGAGTTTCCTACATCATCCTTTGCAGGTCTTTCCAGAAATTAGCCTATTTGTCACTGTCCTTTGACACTCTCAGGAAGAAAAGGATTTGCACAGACAGATGGTTGAAGAAATTGCTCTGTGACTTCTGTACTTCTGCAGGTAACCTTCTTCTGGATATCATCAAGTCCGATTTCATTGATCTACCATAAGATAAGGTCTCCAGTTCTGATTGTCTCTGCTGGTGTGTTATCTTCTCCTAACTGCTGTTCAGCTGCTCTGGTAACTTCTAGCTAGATGTCATTCAGTTAAGCATTTGTTTCTGCAAATCACTGATTGTTTTCCTTCATCCCATTATTTGTGCAAATATCCTGTCAGTATTCAACTCATATCATCCTACCCATGGTTGCAAAACCATCCTTGCCTCAAATGGTGCAGATTTTAAGCGGGACTTCCAGCTGATAATGCTTCCAGTTCCAAATGCCTTGTTCCACTTGGATTCCTCCATGCCAGAGGATATGTTTCATTGAACCAGCTTTGCCTGTTTGTGTTCTCCAGTCTCTTGGGTTTTCAGATAGAGGGTATTCTCCAATACTGAGAACTTCTTTAGTGGTCATCCTGCTCTCTTTGATATCTGAGGTGGTTTACTAAACAGACAGCAATTGAGGATGATAGCGGCGCACAGTTGAAAGTTCCACATCCTTGAAGTCCTGGCAGAATTTGTGAGTCCTTATCCAGTTTTTCTAGTGCCTCCAGGTTGTACCAATTGCCCTTTGCGTCTCACCTTTCTCATGGGTGAGATGCTTGATAGCTGCTGAAGGCAAGAGAGGACTATAACTTGAAAAGCTTCCTCATCTGAGGAACCTCCACCCCTAAGAGTCTGCATTCACCCAACATCTTACTTAGCAAGACAGCATCTGAAATGAATTTTTTGTGTACCTACTCCCTTTATTTTTAATTTGGCTTATGTTTGGCCCTCCTTTCTCACCGAAACCCCGGGCCAGAACTGCATGGCCTCTAGGTCTGCAGCCTCACCCCAGTTGCTGGTACTCAGACCTTCTCCCATAGAAATGGTCACAGAAACACGCATGCTATGGATCCCTCCAGTAACTGGCTTTAGAAAGTCAACGTTCAGTAGCTGGCTCTTGGATTCTCTGTCCTTCCAGGTACCTTGTGCACAAACTCTTGTGCGTGCACACACGCACACGTCTACGTCTCTGGCAGCTGGTCCAAAGCTGTGGCCCTGCTGGTAGCTGACACTCAGATCCTCTGGTCTTTCTAGAGGCTTGGAAAGCCTCGTCCCTCCAGGTGAACTGAAAAGCCTTTTCTATTGACTTATCTGCTGGGTGTCATGCCCAGACCACAGGCTGATCGTTTTTCTTTGATAGCCCTGAGAGCAGCCGAGCCCAGGTGCTTGTTGTCACCGGTTCTCAGAATTCTTCCGTTGTTCCTTTGCTTCTCTGTCTTCACATGCTTTATGAAGTCCTTAATCATATATCCTTATGAAAAAGAACCAGACTCTGTGACCAGGGCAAGAAGTCTTTAGGCAACACACTAAAAAGACTTCATAAATTAAGTAATGTCAAGACGGTAGCAGTAGTAGAGCTGATGCTTTTGTCAAATTTGTTGTGGGACTGAAACCAAATGAGACAGTTTATTATGCTTTAATACTCTATGGTCTCTACGTATGCAATAATAAATTTTGGTCTGGTATAGATTTATGTTAGCATAGGCTTTTTCATATCTATGAAAATTCAACCTTTGAGTATCATATGTCAGGAAAAGTATTAATGACCAGCACAAAAAATTAACTTCTAAAAGATTTAGAGGGCAATTTAGCTGTGATATTAGAAATGTGAAGTGCTGGAGGATTCCAGTCTTTGGTAACACTTATTTTTAAGTATCCTGATTTTTAGTATGGTGCAATCTTGCATATTTGTTACTGCCAAGGATTAATTGTAAATCAGTAAACATAGTCCCTTGTTACGCTGAAGGGGGTGAGAGAAGTTGAAGCCATGGCTGAATGTTTTAGCAAATCCCCATATCATGTTTTTGGAGATGCTTTTAGACTCTTTCCATGGCAGTTGTGGAAGAGCAGGTAACAGTGGCCCCACCATTACCTCTGACAGAGAATCTGAGACTATTTGGTGGTGTTAGAATCAGCAGTAAATTAATTCCAGGAATTTAAAGGACTGCCCTTTTCAAAAGAAATAGTGTTCTGCATTCAGAACTCCAAATGGGGGCTCGCTCCTTCTAGTTGTAGGTACCGGAGGTTGCTCTGGGGAGACTTCTGCTGGCTTAAGGGGACGTAGGGAGAAAACGGGTTGCATCTCAGAGAGTCCCAAACTGACCACCCAGCCAGCAGCGAGGCCCAGCTGTGCTTCTGCCTGAGGTATTTATTCAGAAGTATTTTCTTCTGCCAGTTTACGTCCCTAACAGAATTTAAAAACAGAATTTACAAACAACTATCTTTATTTGATTTAAAGACCTGATTTATTTCTTTTCGATGTCAATGGGCATTTTCCCATGGACTTTTAAAGTGAGTTAACTGAAGCCCAACAGTAAACATTTTTTAATGTTATTTTTTGTTTGGTAGAATAAACAAATGCCTCTGCTGAAGTCAGTGGAAAAAAAAGTTAAGTCAATGGTGAATGCTCTAGAAATTCTGAAAGTTGATGTTGAATATTAGAACATCCGATATTAAAGGATTTTTCCCCTTCTTCCCAAACATTTGGATTTACATAATGTGACACTGAGAGAAAGATACTTCAATGCAATGATGTGCCTTTCGTGTCAGGCTCGAGAAGAGAACGCTGTGGCTATCGGCTCCTGCGGCGCCATCGTAATTCAGAGGATCAGGTGCACTGCATCGGCAAAGCCAAGAAATACAACGAGACGGCAACGCGCGTCAAGGAGATCCTGCTCAGCACCGTCAGCCCAGAGCAGTTCGTTTTGACGCTACTGGAAGCGGAGCCTCCCAACGTCTTGGTGAGCCGTCCCAGCAAACCATTCACAGAGGCCTCCATGATGATGTCCCTGACAAAACTGGCCGACAAGGAGCTGGTTCACATGATTGGTTGGGCCAAAAAAATTCCTGGTAAGAATTTCAGTCTCATTTTTGTTTATTTTATTCCATGCTTTTACCACTAATTTATCATTCTCTACCTTGAAATAATAGCACAGCAAATGTGCCGTATGAAAATCTGAAGCTTTTATCCTATAAAGTAATGGACGTTTTATTGCTCTCAGGAATTCACCTGGATGTATTTTGATTTAGATAACACCTAGCCCGTGATTTGCTATCTGCTGTTAGTCAAATACTTGCTCCTTTTGCTATGAAACATTTTGCCATGAAAGTTACATGCATAGTTGGTGTTGCATGTAATTTCTACCTCATCAACTATACATACCCGATTAATCTAATTTAGAAGGTTCATTAAAAGGGGTATTAACTAGATTGCTATAAAAAAGAATTTAAGACCAAATTCTTTCCTTGAATCCTGATAGAAGGTTTCTAATACGGTTGATGAAACCGAAGTGTGTCCTAGCACCGAGTGCCTGCAATTGCTTCCGTCAACATGGTAGCGACACAAGAGCATCACATTGCCAAGTGAGCATTGTATCGATCTCAGAATTATTGTGTGCTCTCCTTCAAAACAAAAATCAATAAGGATGCTTTTGGTTGTTGGCAGCACAAAGAATATGCACTGAAGTACAACTACATGCGCTGTTGCCTGGGATGCCTCAAATGCTACCGCGGCACCGTGGCAATGTACCATTTCACTTCTTACAGACTTGAAGTGGTGAACAATTGCAATTCCTTCTCCATGGGGCAGCCACAATTCAAACAGTCAGAATAAATAATAAAAGCCCGAATAAAAGCAGACAGCACTTGGAAAAGGTAGTTGGCAATGTTGTGCAGAAAATCTTGCTGGCTGCCTCAGACTAAACTGCAGACTGTGGCCCTTTAGCAAGAGCTAGGACGACCAACTAATAATAGTGGTCTGCAAGAAGCATTGAATAATTGATCGATGTACAGCAGCATGGGGCTTAATCTTTAACTTCAGACATAGTGCTCTGCTAGAAGTGATCCCTACGGCTGCGCTTACCTCCCATGGCTAATGTACTTTGCAGCGCGTCTGGCAGTCCTAACCCCACCTTCATCAGGACTTAGGAGCCAGCACACCACGGCTCATCCCTTGGAATTTGTGCTGAAGGCAACCAGAACATGCTGTGTGTGCCCTGGTCTTGTCACAACTGTGCAGTATAAACAGCACTTGCTGCTGCTTGAATATGCACCCAGGAAGACATAACAGTAATTTGTACTTCTAGAAATAAACTGAGTGTGTACACAGTACAGGAAACAACCTTGCTGAATATTTCATATAATCCTTAAAGTAAGAATTTAGGATAATGATTCCATGATTCACTGTTTGACTCACTGACTGCCACATCTTCACCTCTTCTTCTCATTGTATTAGTCTCTTCTCTAACTCAATTCTCACTTTTTTTCACTGCTGACTACAGAAGTTTTGTCTATCGCTAGTCCTTCTCGTTCTTGTCTCTCGCTCACTTTGCTATTTCTGATGTCCACTGTGAAATGGCATGCTAATAACGCTGTAGAGTATTTCAATATATTGATAAAGATGCTCAGTAGTTTGTACATTTTCCTATTTGCTGTCTCTTTTGAGGCCAGGTAATTGAACACAACAAAGTGCAGTGGTGCCTGGGTCAAAGCGATTTGAATTAGTCTAGGACAAATGGTCCATATATGATGAAAACTTTCAAATCATCCCTTTCCGCGTGCATCTCAAAAAGGACTGTTGTGCTGTGTATCTAGTTTTCCCAGTTAGCACTGAAGCCCCCCCAGTCTTCCCCAGTATTTATGAAACTAAGTTTATTTTTTGCTACCAGTCCCATTCTGCACTCATACTGCTGTTCCAGGTCATTAACAGCTCTATTAATCACTGTTGCTGGTTTGGAAGTAGAGCATCCCCAATTCCTCACCTCTGGCTGCATTAAAATGAATTGTGGACACCCCATCCCTGGAGGGGTTCAAGGCCAGGCTGGATGGGGCTTTGAGCAACCTGGTCTGGTGGGAGGTGTCCCTGCCCAGGGCAGGGGGTTGGAACTGGATGATCTTTAAGGTCCCTTCCAACTCTGACCATTCTGTGATTCTATGATAAGGGAAGTGTATCCTATTCCAGACCTAGGTGGAGTGGTTGCAGGTTCTACCAGCTTCAGCTGCTGGACCGCATCTCCTAGTTGCAGAACTGCAGTCTCCACAGCTCAGCCGCTGTCTTGGAGCCTTGAGGTGGGATGGTTTTAGGGTATGCAAATCCCAGGTCAGTTGCTGAGCTGCTGGGGAGGAGATGCTTCCATAGCACAAGCATCACAAACCTATTTGCAAAATGATAGTGGTTTTGCCATGAATGTGGAATGTTTTAAACTGAGAACCTTAATCCTTAATCCTCATTTTTCCTCCTTTAAGAAACTCTGAAAATAATTGCAAGTGAAGTAAGTAACCATAAGGGGTTAAATGTTGTCTATTGCTGTAATTTCTTGTCTGATCAGAAAAACTTAAAGGTACTTTTTCAGAAGACACCATATAGTTATGTTAATCCAGTAGGAAGTGAATTGTGAAGGAAAAACAGAGAAAGTCTTAGAAAACCACCTCATTTTAAGCAATATTTGAATGGGAAAAAGCCCCAGAGCAACCTTTTCCATTTTCTGACTGTTCTTAATTTAACAAACCTAAAACCTCAGCCAGTTGAGATTAATTTTTTGAATTTTTTAAAAGATTAGTTTCCAAACCAACCCCAATTCTGACATTGATCACTTTTAGTTTCTTTTCACCCTCTGTCAGAAATAAAAACCTTTTCTTGGCAATAAGAAAACTGTATGAAGAAAACCCACTGCAGCCATCAAACCCCTTCAGCACAGTCCTGGGAATGCTGACACCTCATCGTGTGTTTGTTTTTTCTTATCTCTCCTGTTACATAGAACAGAAGTAAATACCATTTTACAACAATGCCAACAATAGATGTCATGTGTAATATGTACCGAATTATAAGTAAGATTGCCATATTACGTGGTAGTTAGAGCTTGAATGTGGATTTATTTATTTTTTCCATTAAAATAACTGTGATGACTAAAGCTTAAGACATAGAAATACAGTTTTCAATAATTCTTGCCTGAGGTTAGTCATCTAGATCCACGCTCTGCTTCCTGGAGGTAAGGCCTTGGAAAAAAAATACAGAGTTCTTGACTAACGGCCAGTGAACAGTAATTTTACTTTCTGTAAAGCTGAATATTTGCCTTTGTGTAGTTGGGTAAGAAGCCCATTTTCACCTCTACATTATTATTGAGTATTATTTTGACATTGACCAAAAGTGAAAGAAAATATTTTTTTCCATATAGATGCTGATGTTAATGGTAGCTTTTTGCTTAAATAGGAAAGATAAATGTGGTTTTTCCCATATTTAATATTTAATAACCTTCTTTTGTTAGGAATTTTACTCTATGACTGTATTTTTTGTCTGTACTTTCAGCTTAATGGATTGTATTTTTGTTGTTGCTCAGTAAAATAGAAGCTGACACCTGGAATTTTTCCTTCTGAATTCCAAATATTTAAATCTAAATTGTCGGATAGCAGAACGTAACTTCTATAATTGCCTTTTAGTTTGTTGACCTCATTTGCTTTTACCTTTATTGACCTTGTCTAAGAGAGTTGAACATGGTTCATAGCTGAACCTGTATTGCTAATCGATAGGATGTTGTCATAATATTGAAATTTGGATTCATTATGCAATCTAGTGTGTTGCTGGCCAGAGCAGTGTCTCCTTTGCTAGTTTCTACACATCTAGTGCACGTTTCTTCTTGTCTGTCTCTGCAATTTATAACTAAACTATTAGGTATAGAGCACACAATTTAAAGGGCACGTACTACAGCAATAGAAAAATAAGTAATTTAATGTAATCTGCATCAAATGAAACGAGACTTCTGACACTGCCATAGAAGCTATGGTGGTTACATGCTGTCCTTGGTCGTTATAGCATAAAATTGTTAAGAAAAGGGAAGGCATAGTCCTTCTAATAGCTGCTCTCAACGGTCACAAATCATGCTGCTGGGGCTGAACATGGGAGTTCAGCAGACGACTGGATCGTTAAGTATCTGTCGATTGAACGTTGGGACTTGGTCCAACACCTCACTCAACTGAGGTAGTTTGTAAACCAAATAATCGGTTGTTTATGTGTTAGAGAAATCAGCAAACACCTGTGTAAGTTTTTATTTAAATAAACTTCTAAAATGTCTTTGGGCTGTTGTTTCCCAGGAAACTGCCACTGTCAGTTTATACTATTTACGCTTCCACGATTATTTTTCTAAAAGCACTTTTAAAATTATGACTCTGTCTGGCAGGTAATCTGTTGTTGGCTGGGAATTCTGTAGTAAATTCTGTGACAGCAAAATCCAGGAGGGAAGGTACTGCTCAGAGGCTCCTGTTTACCCTCCTCACAAAATAAGGAGGAAGGCTATGGATTTTGAAAGGCAGCACTTTTAGCAATGGTAAAAAAGTGTATTTTACTCAGTTTATGCCAACCAGAGGCTGTCACCGACTGTCTTCCAGCTTAGTAGTTGAATAAGATTAAAATACATGGAGCATTTTTATAAATTACTGATTCTTTGACAGCAGATTCTTTGACAGTGCAAACATACAACGTGCATTTTAAGATCTCAGACAACTGGAAGGAGCTATGGGGAGCTTGTCTCTCGTGTCTAGGCTGTGTAATGATTTTTCCCCAGGTACAGTCATAGAGACAAGCTTGTCTAAAACAGAAACAACTCTGCTAAGAGACCTGTCTAAAGCAGCTCTGCTTTGAAAAACTGGGGCTTGATTTTGGTTTTAAACACAGGCATGGTGTGACCACTTCTGAAAGTGGTCCTCACCATATCTGTCTTTTATTCCTTGACTGAGCAGTCTGCTTTTTTCCCACTTGAATTTTGGCAGTTCACACTTCTGGTTTTTTGGTTTGGGTTGGTTTTTGGGGTTTTTTTTGTTTTGTTTTGTTTTGTTTGCTGTTTTTTTCAACATGTAAATTTTTATTTGGCTTTATTTGGCTTCTGTGCATCTTTTTGCCCCAGTCTTTTTTGCGGAGGACAGGAAAAGGAGGGAAATGACTGTCTCTCCCTTCTGGCTGTGCTGCAGTCCTATCTGACACCTTGCTATAAGTTCTGGAGAGAATTAAATGCTAATTTATTAAATGCTAATTAGAGGCTTCTGCACAATTGCATTAATTCTCTTCTTGCTTCTGGGATGCTGTGTATGGAGGTGATGGGGACAATATGACCTTCATCAACTACCCTTGTCTTCTTTTCTTCTAGTTTGTTACAGTTTTGGGGAAGAGGGCAGCAGGAATGGGAAGGGTTGAGATTGGTTTGGACAGGGTCAGAACATCTAATTTACAAAAGGGAATGATAACAGAGGCACCAAGATGTGGGTTCTTTCATTGTTACCCAGTTAACTCAGAAACATGCCTGTCTAATGAGATTAAAAAAAAAAACAAAAACACCTGCAAGTGACAACTATATGCATTTTGGGGAAAGAACAGACTATTTTCTTAGGAGTCCTGTGCAGTGCAATGCAGTAATCCCTGACAAAAGTGAATTTCCCAGGTGCATCTTCCCCAGGTGCATCTCAAGAGGCTGTGGGACCACCATCTAAAGAGGTGGCCAAGCATAAGGCAGGTTCTCTGCAGTCACTTGAGTTTCACCAGCTGTATGGGAGTAATTGCACTTGAACATCACTCTGCTTTATTTCAAATGTTTTGTGGAAGGTTTGATAATGACAATAACAAATATTCATGTTCCTGTCTGAGATGGCAGTATGGTCCTTCTGATGCCAGTTGTTCCTTTTCTGGCTTTCTTCATAACCCATAATTCTTTTTATTTCTTTTTGCTTTCTCGTACACTTAGTCTTCTTTATCAAAACAGAAAATTAAACAGATTGACTTATTTTATGTCATTTTCATCATTTTAGGTTTCATCGATCTCAGCCTTTATGACCAAGTAAGACTCTTGGAGAGCTGCTGGATGGAAGTTTTAATGGTTGGTCTGATGTGGAGATCAATTGACCATCCTGGGAAACTAATTTTTGCACCAGACCTTGTACTAGACAGGTAAGAGGAATAAACTTCTTTAGAACACTTGGTATTATCATGTTTGAAGGTGAGGTGAATGGTAAGAGGAAGAGGATTAAGTATGGGAGTTGCTATTAATATTTTATCTAACAGTATAATTCACTTGTATTTGTAACAATAATGTCTTGAGGCTCCATATCCTTACAGGAGCTTAAGAAATGCTAAGCATAAACAGTATTGTTGATCTTGCCAGTTCCTTAATTCCTCCAGCACATGACAGCGTGCAGTTTCTCTGTATTTTTCACTTCTTTTGTTGGTTTTGTTCCTTTTGGCCCGAGTCTCTAGATGCTGAAATTGTAGATACATCAACACATTGTCTATCAGTTCCTTCCAGCTGACAGATTTTCTTCCCTGAGCCCTCAGGAAAAGCAGACACAGTGGCAGGCGATATTTTAATTATTTTAAGCAGCTTTTCTACCTGTTTTTCTTTCTGCCCCTAGTAAATAGCTATAATAATGAACATTGCAGAATTAGTCAAAAAGGATTTTTAATACCGAAAGTATTTTTTTCAAGCTAAAGCAGGGTGTGTGTGAGATTAAAAACTATTTCTCCCTAACATCATGTACCAGCAGGGAAGAATAAGGATTAGTAAGGGTGCTTTTCTACAGGACTTTAGAATGATTTGACCCGGGCTTCACATTGGTAAAAAGTCAGGGAAACAATCTTGGGTAGGTTTAAAATGTCTCTTAACCTTTTCAACCTGTGGAAATTGAGATCTATACCAGTTATGTGGCTTGAGCTCAGTGACAATCATCATCTTAGATACAGAAAGCAAAATGGATTAGTAAGGGAAATAAATTTAATTTATAAGAGATATGAAATAAATTATTGTTTGCTCGTATGAAATTCAATGCGAGGACACGCTGGGGTGTTCAATGCAATGATAAGAAATTGCTGAAAATGTATGATACATTTAGTTCCTTGGGAGCTAATACGTGCTGAATGGAGTGAGCTTATTTGATGCATTCCGTCATCTCCACAAGATACGGCAGAGTGGGAGCTAACAAGCATCTGGGCATGCTGTGATTTTATTTTAAGAGATGCATATATGAAACTGGTCTGTAACTTGATTGTTCCTATCTTAGCTGAACTTCAGATACATTTCCTACATGGTCTTTTAGACAACTAGTTCTCTGATGCTTGTGTCTTTGTTTTGAAACTGGCAGCTGCCTCCAAAGCTTAAAATTCTCCTTTGGAGAATTTTTTTTGTTTTTTTGGGTTTTTTTTGAGAATTCTCCTTTGCTGTGAGGAACAGGGGAAACTGGGCACCATCCAGGCAGCTGCCTTTCTGCAGGCAGTACTCGCTGCACCTCCATAGTGTTACCTGCCCGTGCCAGCCTCGCAGCCTGAAGGCTCAGCACCCTCTTCTTGGGATCCAGTAGAAGAGTAAAGGTCTTTTAATTCTCCTGCACTGCTGTGCTTAGGCCTGGCTCGTCTTAAAAACGTTACAGAGGAAAAATCTCATACTGCAGATATTGTAAGAAGCATCCCTTTGAATACCATGTCATAGAGCTTAATTGCTTTTTTACTCCAGTACATGTTAAAAAAAAAAAAACCTAACCAAAACACTGGAACAGTAACTTCAGTGGTTTGAAATTTGCTGGTGCTTAATTTTAAAACAATTGGAATGGTTTGGGGTTGTTTGGGGTTGTTGTTTTTTTCAGATCAGAAACTGGGACTATTTCTAATATCCAAAACAGAGAAAGTTGTATTCAGCAAACACTTGCAAGCATAAAAATGACCAAACCACAAACCAGCTAAAAAACCAAAAATCTATTTACGTTTAAACACCATCAAAGAAAAAGCTGCTGGGGGTTGGGGGTAGAGGTTGTTTTACTATTAAAAAATGTCTTAATTTTTCCAAGAAACTTATTTTAGGGAATCTTTCTTACTTGCCAAGTCCTGAGGCCTCGGTCAGGTACAAATAGGGATGTCTCTGGTCGTGGTATTAACTCCATGTGAAACAAATCTGGAAGGTGATTCAAGGTGGTCTGTGCCCTGCTCTGCAGAGTTTCAAACTGATGATGCAGAATTATACTGGCTGCAAGGATGCAGCCTCTTACAGAAATTTGGTCACACTTACCTGCGGTCAGTCCTGCACGCGCTTTGAAGAGAAAATCAGTTTCTTAGAGGTGCTGACCTTTTATAGCAGCGTAATTTTCAATTTAGATTTCGTGATGGAACCTTTGGAATGCTCCTGAAGATGAGATGGACAGGCCTTTTCCAGCCTACTTTGTGCTCTGACTTGTATCTGGCTGAGTCAGAGTTCCTTAATTCCACTTTTTCAGTAACATTTTAAATGTGTTTCCATAGGGATGAGGGAAAATGCGTAGAGGGAATTTTGGAGATCTTTGATATGCTCCTGGCCATGACCTCGAGGTTCCGAGAGCTGAAACTGCAGCACAAGGAGTATCTTTGTGTCAAGGCAATGATCCTCCTCAATTCCAGTGAGTACACAGTTGACTCTGATTCTCACCAAATGGTACTTTTTATTTTTGGGGTTGTAGCTTATGAAGGCACGGCCCTGGTCGGAGATGCAACCAGAATTCTTTACTCTAATAAACAGGCAGGTTATATAGTACTAAAGGATCTTCTTTCCCAACCCACACACCCCCACAACCCCCAACTGTAGGGTCGTTAGGTACTGTTTATGAGTCATTAGGACCTGATCACGGGCCTTCCCCTGACAGTGTTCCTGCTTCTTCTATTTCTTTTTCTGGTTTCTGCTTCTTCCACAATGCTGTTCACCCACAGGGGGTAGGCTGGGAGATCAGCCTCTGAAAATGGCTGAAGTATTGAATGAGATAAAGCTGTTGAAAGAGAACAATTAGGAAAGGACTTCTAACCATCAGATTGCAAGGATTTTTCTCAAGAAACTTCTAAACTGTACCATTTGCTGGATTTAAGGTCTGTGTCCTGTTGTAAGGGTTGTAAGAAAGACCCAAAGTCTAAAAGCTTCTCACAAGGTGGGGCTGATGGCCCAGGCTGTGGGGATGTCCTTTTCAATGTCCTTTTCCTCGTATCTCTGTGGATCCTGGTCACGTGTAAAGTTGCTGTACAGCTCTACAAACCTGTCAATTCTTAATTTTAGTAAAACTAGTTAACTGAGTTACGATTAATTGGGCTTTAATGTTCCTATTTTATGATAATTAACTGGTAGAAATGATTATAAGTAGTCAATGGTTCTGCAAGGTGAATTTCAGTACAGGAGCTTTGCTTTGCAGCCTTTTACACAAGGCAAATAGGAGTGTGTGTTTGCTAGTTTAGGGTAGTCTGCAGTAAAATAATTTCATTCCCCAGGACAAACTGTAATTAATCTTGTCAAAAAAAAAACCAACAAAAAAATAACATTTAACTATTTACATCTCCTGTTTTCAGCAAGAAGCTGCTGCGTAATTCTCAGCCCAGTGCTGAAGAATAGTCCAGCTGTTATCCCACGTTTATTTCAACAGACAACCAAAGCTGTTCTTTTTTTCTTGCAAAAACCCACCACAACAATAACTAACCAACAAAAACCCAACAAAGACCCATGTTCATCAGCCCTATTTTTTTCAAAGCCTCAGCTCTCATAAAAATCTCTCCTTTCACCTCTCCCTGCTCTCCTTTTTTGTCAAAGTTAATCTTTTACTTCTAATTTTCAAGGTGTTCTAGAGCTCTGTCCTTCCATAAGTATCTTTGGGAGGATTTTTTTTTTCCAGGTCTCTTCTGCTCTATCGATAACGTTATTGAGTGTCTTCAGACCTTCCTAGTGGTGATTTCTTCTCCTCCCTCTCCATGCCACCAGTCCCCTTTTTTCACTTTGGCTGACTTTTAAGATTTCTCCCCCCAGGTAATGCTGTATTATGGCAGACTTAGTGAGCTGTAGGGAGACCTTGGCAGGCTGGATCTATGAGCAGTGCCTCTCACCACGTTCTCCTCCTTCCCTAGGACGTACTTAGGAAAAAAAAGGGTGTCTTTTTTTCAGCGAGAAGGTATTAGAGCAAGTGTAATGCTGTAATTCATAATAGTTACTGAATGGCAAGGTATAGAGTGAATCAAAGGAAAATCTAATGGAGAATGGAGAGGATGTCCCTTCTCTGGACTCGAGGGCCTATATTCAACGTTTCTCCTTGTAGGATTTGGGACAATCACTCAATTTGCAAATGATGTGGCCATCAAATTTTGGCAAAGGAATGCAAGTTGGAGCTTGGTGTAGCACATGGGGCGTTGTTTGTACAGTCTTGAGGCGGGGGCTGTCAGGAAATGTATCTTCTCTAATCCTGGTAAAATATTACATCAGAAAAAAATCCACAGTTGCAGCTTTCTTTTTTTTTTTTCCCCTTCCTCATTTCAACGTTTCTCCTTGTAGGATTTGGGACAATCACTCAATTTGCAAATGATGTGGCCATCAAATTTTGGCAAAGGAATGCAAGTTGGAGCTTGGTGTAGCACATGGGGCGTTGTTTGTACAGTCTTGAGGCGGGGGCTGTCAGGAAATGTATCTTCTCTAATCCTGGTAAAATATTACATCAGAAAAAAATCCACAGTTGCAGCTTTCTTTTTTTTTTTTTTCCCCTTCCTCATGGACAGGGAGTTATTTCTTTCTCTCCTCTGGCTAGGCATGTTTCCCTTGTCAGCAGAAGAACCTGAAAGCAACAGGAAACTGCATCACCTGCTGAATATCGTGACAGATGCTTTAGTGTGGGTTATTGCCAAGAGCGGGATCCCCTCGCAGCAGCAGACAACCCGTCTGGCCAATTTGTTGATGCTCCTCTCTCACGTCAGACACGCAAGGTAAATTTTATAGAATGTGGGTAACGCATAAGGTGTTCGTATTATATTTTTATTCTAGCAACAAAGCAAGGCTTGAACTCCAGAGCACTCCTGAGGGGATCCTGATGCTGCTTTTCATCTCTGTTCCTTGTAAGGCTTGCTTTCCCAGCAGAACTAAACAGGCGACACACTCAAGTGCTTGCTGGCACTCAAAAATTTTGTGTTGATAGTAAAATGTTGTCTTAACTGGGTTACATTAAATTGTTCATTATGCTATCTGCCTGAAATGTTTAACAATAATAACACAAATTCAGCCTTTCAAACAAAACCCCACCCAGTCATGAAAACTCATCAATTCAATACAAAAGTCTCTTTCAAGACTGATCTGCAGCGCGGGCTTTGGCGGAGCAAAGTGGGTGCCGTGTATTCTCCCAGACCAAATTTGTTGTCTTTCTTTGGACCCACAGCATTTTTACCAAGTGACTGATGCTACAGCGATGCCACGCTCTCGCTTTCCCCGTGGGAAGCAGCTCCTCTGCTCCCTCCCAGTTTCTGGACCTCCTTGAGCTGCTCATCCTTGGCTGCAGTACAGCAGACTCCTGGCTCTAATGCCCTGCTGTCACCTGGGTTTCCCACTGCAGTGTGACACTGCATCCCAGCATCACAGGAGCTCTTCTTCTGGCATAGCATGAATAAACACTATGAATCTTTGCAAAATTTTTACATTTTCTTATTGAAACAAGAGTTTTTATGCTGCGCCTCAGCCGAAGTCTGGAGGCTCCTTGTGACCCGTCTCCTTTACGTTGCTTAGTGCTGGTCAGTCAATTAGAGTTTGTTCTGACAATAATTGATGCTCTCAGCCTTGATTACCAAATGATGCAGGACTCTAAAGAGCCGGGTGTAGGAGGCGGGGGCCACAATTTCTTCTTTGCCATTAACATATTCATAACTCTTAGATTGTAGCAGAACCTCATTTTTCTGGAAGCATTGCCCCCTCCCAGTCCAATCCACCAAGTCATCTCTGTGTTGGCTGGCTGCTGCTATTTCCACTGTGATAAATTGGGTGTTGAGCAAGCCCGCTTTAGATTTCAACCCCCAAAAACTTGAATGCATCTGACTTATACCTATGTGCAACTGTAGCTGCAACAGCTCTCTCCTGTTTGTCCTACCAAACCACGATACAGCCACTGAGCACCCAAAATAACAAGGTGTCATCGTTATCTTACTGCATAATGAAAAAAAATGCTATTCAAGTCTGTAGCCAACTGCAAGATCTGACACTGGACAAGCAGAGAGGAAACAAACTGCTTGGAGTTAGCCAGGGTAATTTGGTGTTCCTACTCAACCAGGCAGGAGAGGTAGGCAGTCACTAGAGCTACCCACTGTAAATTCACCTTTGGTATGAAGCTGCAGCGTGTGGGCCTCTGCTCTTACAGCATCAGAGGTTTTTCTCTTTGTTTTCAATGCGGTTGGTACATCTGCAGTATTTTCTGAATTTTGTGCGGTGCAAAACACAAGTCTTGCTTCTCTAAATAGTAAAACATTCAGCTTTAAAGTATTGGGATGCTGTTAACTGTTGATAGTGGTGGGTGATCTCAGGGGCTACGGCAGCTAAACCCCCTTAACTCCTAATAAAAAAAGGAGTCTCTTGAAGCCATTAGTGTGTTTTTCTTCTCTGCGTTGTCAGATCCAGGTTGCTGACTTGTTTTCTGTTCTCCTTCACAGTAACAAGGGGATGGAGCACCTCCTGAGCATGAAGTGTAAAAACGTGGTCCCGGTGTATGACTTGCTGCTGGAGATGCTGAACGCGCACACCCTGCGAGGCCAACGGAAGTCCCCGGTGGCACATCCCGAATTTGGCCCACTAGAACAAAGGGAGAGCGGAGACGCGCTGCGGCACGGGGCATCCCAGTAATTCAGTTGGAATGTGAAGGTCGTTCAAAGTTACGGGAGAAAACAAAGCTACTGTGATGGGGCTGCTGAAGTGTGGCCTGGTGTGCAAGCCCTCCTCTCTCCTGCATTTGCACGTCAGCATCTCGGGAAAGGCTTGTGGGATGCACACCCTCTGTCCGTGCTCCTGACGTTGTAACCGCCGCACTTCTGTAGTGCCTTTTCTGAGACTCTTCAAAAGCACCTTATGAAACCAAGCCTCGGAACAGTACTGGGAGAGGGGGAATTACTGCCTCTCCTTTTTGAGGGGCAGGTGAACCGAGACAGAGAGAAAAGAGCCTAGTTTGAGATGACAGAAGAAGTCTGTGTCAGGGTAGGAGTCAGTATTGAGGTCCCCGTCTCTCAGACCAAGGCTTTTAAGCGCTGACTGGACATCTCCTCTTTCGGCGGGAGATTGTATGAAATGTGGAGCAGGGTGGTTTGGGACAGATCCACTTACCCGTGTGTGCTGGTCCCTGGGGAATACCTGCTTGGCAGCTGTTCTGAAGTGCCGAGACGTGTCCAGTGTCAAGGGGTTTATTCTTAAATATGCAATGGCTGCAAGAGCCGCTATTTGAAGGCCATTGGGAACAGCTTCTAGGGCTGGTTCAGAGCTTCTTCAGAAACGTTAAACCGAGCTTAAGTTTGTATTTTGTGAGCCTGTTCTTAACACTCACGTTATTATCTATATATAATTCTTCAGTGCTTTAAACAATGACCAAAATGCCTAGATATTTCACTCAATGCTGACCTTTGAAATGTGTTTTGTCTGTGAGATTTACATGTTGTTTTATATATTTATTAATGATGTTAAATCTATTATAATATTTAGGTACAAGAGGTGGCTCTCTGTGAATATTAACTGTGTGCATTTGAATATGAGCTGCTAATCAGGGCATGTGAAATCAGCTTAAAAACAAACCATCTTCCCACCCCTTTTGACTCGTGTGTGGAATTAGGTCCCCCCAAAGCCGAAACCTCTTGCGCCCGCCTTGCAGGGAACCAAAGCTGGGACCTGTTTGTGCCTGCTGCCCTCGCCTCTGCTGCTTGCCTGCTTCCAAAACGCCTGGCACCTTATGCTGTGGTTTCCTTATCTTGTACAGGATCCCTCAAAGAGCAGGGGAATGATGGTTCTGGCACTTCCTTTGCGTTGCACATTCCATGACTCATTTGAATTTCACTGAAGATGTGGGTTTAACCACCACCCCCCCCCGCCTTGTCGTGCTGATTTCTGCATGTGTTTAAGCTGCACTTAGGAAAAAAAAAAACAAAACCAAAAACCAGAGGAAATAGCCTGAGCAATGACCTCAGCGACAAGTGGGATGGTGTCACTGCTGCTGGCAGCTGCCAGTGTTGCAGTTTGACATGAGCTAGAATCACTCTAAATGGATGTGGTTAAATATAATACATGTATGTTCTGGGCATTTCAGGTCTGGTGAAGTTTAATTGGGATCACACCTAAAGGCTGTCTTGAGCCAATATGTTTTCTGGATTAGGGACTTTGATTAGTATATCATTTGCATAGTTTGAATAATTCATCAAACCTTTTCATCTTGGTGTTTTTTCAAAGCCAAGGACAATGTTTTTTACAGGAGGAGCATTAAGAGTTTTCAGTGAGTTACACAAATCTATTGTCTTGTTTTGATCCGGTGTTATACCGGATGCTGCTGCTGGTCTAAATTTTTACTAGCTACATTTTTATTGTTTTTAAAAACTTGTAATATGGCAGTGCCCTTTAAATAAGCGTAATATTCACTATAAAAAAGGGAAAAAATGTGAGTAGAGTCTGGAATTCTTTGGTACTTTAATTCTGGGGGGAAGTTTTGCTGTAAAACAGATATGTTTCAGTGTTTGTTGGGCTTGATCACCTTCTGGCCTCAATGCCTGTTGTATTGTTTTCTAATTTTCCTTATCATGTGTAATCTTTCTGTTTAATACAGTTTTTCAAAGAAATGTTTGGGTTGTTTTTTTTTTGGTTGGTTTGTTTTAGAAGTGCTGAATTTATGTGTAATCCTGAAAACAAGCCTCTTAAAAACCAAAAGGGAAAGAGTGGGTATAAATTGTAAAATTAATTTCTGAATGGATTGACTTTGTGAAAGGATGATACTTGTGCCACGTGTGTGATTCATATTTGCTGTTGCTACCACAGTGCAACTAGGAAAATTATGTGATTTATCAGATTTTTTTGTCCTGTTGAACATAATTTTATTAAAAGTTACTCCTAGTGTTTTAAAACGGGCAAAAGCCAATAGCTGTCAAGTCTCTGGATTAATGTGGCTGGGTTGGTATCTGGGTCAGGAGAAGGTGCACATCCCTAAAACAGCACAGATTATAAACAGGGTGCTGTGTGACAAAACGACTGGCCGAGGGCACCTTGGTCTCCTGAGAGAAGTGTTGGGTTTATCGTGGGTCTGTATCCTACAGCCTCTCTCAGATGATGTGTTCCTGCTGTGGACCACATCCCGGGGACGGGGGGGCTTTTCCAGTTTCAGCACGAAAGACTTGAGTGCTGAGGAGCTGTAAGGGGTGGGAGGCCCTGAGGAGAGCGGGGCTGATTTATGGTTTTTCCTTCACTGCTTTCCTCAGCAGCTTCTGCTGAGCTGGGACCTGGCCAGAGGTGGCAGTTTCTACTGGAAGAAATTATGCAGCAATTATGGGATGTTCTCAGAGGTGAGCAAGCTTGGTTCACGCAGGAGTGCCAGTTGACATGGATTTAAAAGACAAACACCACAACCCCCCAGAAACCTAAAGCAACAACAAACAAACAAGAAAGAGAGAGAGAGAGAGAGAGAGAGGAAGCAGCCCAGACTTTTCCTTATGCATGCTGTTAAAAACATGCTGAGGTTCTCATGTCTAGAAGTAGAATGAAACTGTAAAACAACCTACCATTTTTAAAGAAATGTGGTAAATCTTGGAGCATTTGGAGCAGGTGAAATGGTAATGTCTCAAGGAATGTGCGACCTTTTCCACACCTCCATCTTCTTGCAAATTATCCAATATTAGTGCTGTCACGTTGCAAGTCAGAGGGGAGAACAGAGGAAAAAGGTGCGTTAGAACATTCTCCCTTGAGAGAGTGTACCCCTCAGGAGGGGTACAGTTTTTTTCATCTACCTTTCTTATCCTATGTACCTGAAGAAACCTTTCCTGTTATTTTTCACATCCACATCCAAGTTTAGCTCCAGCTGTGCGTTCGCTTCCCTGACCCCCTCCCTGCACTCACCAGCCACATGCCTATAATCTCCCCAGGATGTCTATCCCTGCCTCCGCAGCCTGTGCATTTTGCTTTTGTGTTCGAGTTGGGCTAAGAGGTCTTGACTTAGCCCAGCTGGCCTCCTGCCTCCCCTGCCCCACTTCTTGCACATTGGGAGTGAGAGCTCTTGTGCCCTAAGAACAATGTCTTTAAGTATCCCCCAGCTCTTCTTCTCTCCTTCCCCTCTGTGGGCAGTTTCCCCAGGGATCCCGTGCACTAGCGCCTTGAACACCCGAAAGTTTACCTTGCTGGGGTTTAGGCCTCTCCTCCGGTCAGGCTCTCCATCGCCTGCACCAGGACTGCTTGCAGTTGGCTGTGCTGCTTTTGCAGCCGATGTCCAGGGGGGGGTTGAAGTTGAGATGGTGACAGTGAAGAGCAACAGTGACAGCCCCACGCCTACAGAAAGCAGCCAGGGGAGTGCGGGCCAACAGGGCATGGAAGGGCAGCTCTTGGAAGGAGGGGCATTCCACTGGCCAAGTGGGAGCCCTGAAGGCCACACAGCCCAGCGAGCAGGCGTTGTCCTGTGACCATCTGCACAGGTCAAGGCGACTCATCCCACATGCTGTGCCTCTTGCCGCGGCCCGAGGAGGCGCTGAGGAGAAATCAGGATTCCAGCCTCCCTAAGTGACCTCTGCACTGGCTTCTACCTGGATGTGCAGAAAATTGCCCGCTTGTTCCAGACCTTGGACTCCTCTTGGGAAGGGTTTATAAAGCAAGGTGGTTGTCCATTGGGCAATCTCCACCTGCATCTCCAGCACTACCCTTGGGAAATGTCTCCTTGGAAGCAATGTCCTCTGGCAGTGGAACGGCCGGAGCAGAGACCCTGCCGTGGACAGGCCCCATCCGCCCGCCAGGATAGACACCACCACCCACCCATCTACATCATGAAGGCACCAAGTACACCCACGACCACAAGCTCTGAGGCCAGCGCCAAGGCAGCCGATTCCATCCCACGGGGTGGGACCTCAAGGAGCAACAAAGCATCCACGGGCCACAAGGCCCCCTTTTATGTTTGGTGAGGTTTGGGGGTGCTGCTGTGATGCTGTGCTCCCCCTGAGGTACCAACCTGACCTTTATCTCCCCTATCCCTGCCCAAGCCATAACCACCCGTGGCGGGTCACAAGGGGTGCATCTGGTCCTGAGGGCGGCATCTGGAGCTCCAAGGCGGTTTTGGGAATCAGCTAACGACACATCACCCAAGGGGGAACTTGAGCAATGCTGCTACTGTGGTCAATATGCAAATAGGACTAGAAGTCAACCATCTTACCCCCCTAAATAGTCAACAGCCCAAGAGCCCTGGGAGCTCTCCAGCAACAGTGGGCTACCTTGAGCAGGGACGCCCCTCCAGATTCCTTCTCAAGATTCAGAGATTCCTTGGCGCAACAGACCCTCAGCCAGTGACTAATAGCATGTTATACTGTGAAACCTCAGCCCAGTGACAGAGAGGATTTGTGGGAGAACAAGGGGTTAACAGGACTGTGGAAGAAGCAGAGACCAGGAGAAGAAGCAGGAACAATGGCAGAAGATGGCCCATAAGAATCTCCGGACCTGTAAACAGGACCTGTAAACAATGCCTGGCGCCCCTGACTGATGGAGGGGAATTCCACCCGCCTGGCAGTTGGGGGTTGCAGGGGAGTGTCAGTTGGGAAAGAATACACACTGGTACTATATAAGCTGCCTGTTGGTTATAATAAACGATTCTGGTTGTATCACCAACCGGGGTCCGTGCCTTCATACGCTACAAATGGTGCCCAATGTTGGGCATTAATCAGGAGACGGACAAGCCGTCCGGAGCGGTAGCGTAGCCCGATCGAACCAGGGATTACCTCGAGGATTTCTTCACCGCCGGCTCATCGCCTTCTGCAGGACAGAGGTGAGCGATGGGGAACTATGGGGAACACTCTGCTGAGAGAGGAGCAGGGCAGCACACTGCCCACAGAGCAGCAAAGGGACCAAGAAGTATTAAAAGCTCAAAACCGATCTGTACCTACCCTGTCCTTAATAACTTTCTTAGACTGGGTACGAAAAAATGTTCCGGGCTATCCTAAGACCGGTACCCTTGACAAAGAGGTGTGGGAGCAAATTGGTGAAAAGCTTTGGGACGCTGCAGCAGGGACAGATCAAGCTGCAGCTCAACACTTAGCAGTGTGGCGGCTGGTATCTGAAGCCCCAGCGGAGCTCCGCAAAGAGACAGAAAAGACCTCTGAGGAGAGCCTAACGAGTCCTTCTGCCCTGCCACCACCACCCGCAGACAACACCTGCGGTGCAGAGGAGAGTCTCTCAGGAGACTCCTTCCATCCTGAGCCAACAGACCCAGACCCAGAACCTAATCTACCTCCTTTGGATAATGAAAAGGCAGAGGCAGTGGGGAATAACCTAACCCTTTTGAATGGTTGTCACCGTGTGTGGGACAAATGTCGAAAAGAAGCCTTAGCTAAGGGTGACACAGACATTTTGCAAGCGTTTCCTGCTATTGATCGCGGAAATCGACCCGGAGCGTGGGAGGCTTTGGATTATGACCATGTTAAAAGAGTTGAGGAAATCGGTAAAAGATGATGGTCTCCAATCAGGATATACCATGAACTTATTAACAGCTCTTGGTGATGGATATGTTGTGACTCCTCATGATTGGAAACTGTTGTTTGCGTATGATTTTGTTGGCTATGCAACATGCTGTATTCATGACTGAGTACCGTGATCTCGCGACTGCTAACGCATTGGATAACTTAGCAGGCAATTTAAATCATATTGGTGTGAATGAGCCCACGGGTGTGCTACAGCCTGGTCTTCCTTCACCTTCTATGCTGCCTCAGAATTGGCCAAGAGCCATCATTGATCTGAACTTGAGCAATGCTGCCACTGTGGTCAATATGCAAATATGACTAGAAGTCAACCATCTTACCCCTCTAAACAGTCAACAGCCCAAGAGCCCTGGGAGCTCTCCAGCAGCAGCAGCAGCGAGCTACCTTGAGCAGGGACGCCCCTCCAGATTCCTTCTCAAGATTCAGAGATTCCTTCTCAAGATTCACGCTCTTAGTCTTAGAAGACTAAGAGCGTGTTATACTGTGAAACCTCAGCTCAGTGACAGAGAGGATTTGTGGGAGAACAAGGGCTTAACAGGACTGTGGAAGAAGCAGAGACCAGGAGAAGAAGCAGGAACAATGGCAGAAGATGGCCCATAAGCATCTCCGGACCTGTAAACAGGACCTGTAAACAATGCCTGGCGCCCCTGACTGATGGAGGGGAATTCCACCCGCCTGGCAGTTGGGGGGTTGCAGGGGTGTGTCAGTTGGGAAAGAATACACACTGGTACTATATAAGCTGCCTGTTGGTTATCATAAACGATTCTGGTTGTATCACCAACCGGGGTCCGTGCCTTCATACGCTACAAGGATAGATTGCACAGATCTAATCCTTCAGACACAAAGCCTCGACCAAGTCTGGCACTAGGATTGGCTCCAGCCGCCCCGAGACTCCTCTCTGGGAAGGAGCGTAGAAAGCAAGGTGGTCCTCTCTGACCCTCGTGACTCCATGGGAAAAGGTGTCCCGGACACTTCTGCCTGACCCTGTCCTCCAGGCAGTGACTAACCAAGGGCACCTTGCCATCACATCTTCTCAGAACACTCTCTCAAAGGCTCTGGCTGAGCCAGGGGGAGGCCGAAGGGCATGGCCGGTTGCCGCATGCCCGTGATGCCCTCCATCGCCTGGGACACCCCAGGGGACGCGTCACAATGGGGGCGGCTTTATAAAGGGCGCCAGCAGGCAGCTGCCCCAGTACGGCCTGGGCCACCGGCGAGTGCGCTTCAAGGCCATGGCTTTGACGACGGTCCGCATCTTGCTTCTGCTGAGCTTCTTCCTGCGCCTGCCGATGGTCGGCAAAGAGCTGGAGGAGGCCACGCACGAGCACATGTGGCTCCGGGAGGAGCATCTCAATCAGGAGATGACTCAGCTGATGGAGGAGCTGGAGCAGAGCACCTCTGCCCCGGGAGCCCTGCTCTTGGCTGCCTTGCAGCACTGGCAGTTCTGGGCGGTCGCTGGAGTCCTAGTGCTGCTCCTTGGGCTCTGCTGGTGGCTGAGGAAAAGGAGCCAGCAGCCAGAGAGCAGCTGGGAAGAGGAGATCACCTCCTGCGGCAGCCGAGAGGACGAGGAAGAAGCAGGCGAAGGAGAGGACTCTGACGATGAGGGGCGTCTGGTCAGGATTTTGGCAAAGCGCGTCCGTGGGGCAATGAAGAGCGTGGCCTACAAGCGCCGGGTGGCGGAAGATCTGGTGAGCGACCTCCTTGGCGTCTTCCAAGCGCGCTTGGCCAACAGTTTCTTCCCCGTGCTGGAGCCAGCCATCGGGGTGGGCAGCGCCTTTGAAGGTTGGAATCCCCGGGGGCATGATGCGGTCTACCGCCTGCTTGTGCCCCTGAAGCCTCCCCGTGGGCACACGTTCCATCTGGAGCAGGCCTCTGCGGAGAAGATGCCGGCAAAGAACTGCATCCGCGTTCAGCTGGAATGCACCTGCATGAGGGGCCAAGGTGTGGAGAACATGCTCTGCTTCGTGCACCAGCCCCAGGAGGCGCTGAGGACAACTCAGGATTCCAACCTCCTAAACGACCTCTGCACCAGCGCTGCACGTCCAGGCTTCTACCTGGACGTGCAGAAAATTGCCCGCTGGTTCCAGACCTTGGTGAGCTCAGCCTGGGGGGAGATGGCTCAGTGGCATCACTACAGCATGAAGGTGCTGCCTTCCCGCCGCTCCTGCAAGCTGCAGCTGACGAATGCCTGCGGGAGATCCCTCTTTGTGGAGCTGATGTTCGGGGTGCAGCAAGGCGACTCGGACATCTTCCTGAGCAGCCAGGTTGCAGAGCACCCCGGCTGCTTCATCCCGGGCACAACGTGGGCAGAGAGCTATGCCGTGGCCGAGGCCAAGTTCTTCAGGCACATGGCCAAGCAGGCCCCGCAGGACAGCTTCCACCTCACATGCCTGCAGCTCTGCGCCGGCATCCTGGAGAGCACAAGCTTTTCCACCGGCACCTTGAAGACCGTTGGGATGCACCTCCTCAACACCCTGCCCCCGGCAAGCTGGACAAGGAGGGAATTCGTCTCGCGGATGCAGGATATCATGTGGGACCTGCGCCAGTGCTTGGAGGAGAAACGCCTCGACCACTTCTTCCTTGGCAATGAGAACATGCCCGAGGACATCGCCTTGCCCCCAGCCTTCCAGGCGGCTGAGCCCCTCAACCTCTTCCAGTGCCTGGTGCAGGATCCAGCTGCCCACGCCAAGGCACTGCGTGAGCTTGAGGAAGTGCAAGCTCAGCTCAGAAGACTGCTCTTCTATGGAGTCTGAAAGAGGTCTTCATGGACAGAGCCGTGCCTGTGTCCCCTCGGCTGCCCCGCGTCTTCAAGAGAGTCCACTCCTTCTGGGAGCTTCCCTTTGTGCAAAGTTGTTAATAAACTGTCTTTGTTTGAACAAAGGGCGAGTGTCTGCATCAGCTTTTTGGGGAAGGCAGGCATGGGGTGCTGACTGCTCAGCTGCCCCGGAGTCGGGGAGTGTTTGCTGAAGAGCTGAGGTGGTGGGCTCTGGTTTCTCGGATTCTGTAGATGAGGCTCCCCCTCCTGCCCATGCTCCTGCCTTGGGGCAATGGCCTGGGCCGAGCCACTACAGATTTACAGGTTTCTGGATGAGCACCCATTGTGGTCCCAGCCAGACAGGGAAGAAGGAGAAGGCACGATGGTGGAAGAACTCTTGAATGACCTCCTCTGTGTCTGCCGTATCCTCTCCAGCAACAGCTTCATGAAGCCAGCTGTCAGCATGGGTGGCTTTGCAGGAGCCCAGGCTCCCAGTGAAGACTTTGTCTACCGCCTGCTTGTGCCCCTAAAGCCACCCCCTGGGCACTCCTTCCACCTCGAGCGGGGCAGCAAAGGGGACAAGCTGGTGAGGGACAGCTGCCTGCGCGTCACACTGGAGTGCACGTGCCTAAGGCATCGGCGGCTGGAGGACATGCTCTGCTTCCTCCACCACCCTGAGGACGAGCTGATGACCAGGCAGGAAGCCAACCTCCTTCAAACCCTCTGCGGCTCGTACTTTGACATGCAGAAAACTGCCTTCTGGCTCCAGGGGCTGATGACAGCAGCCAGCATTGATCTCTTTGAGGACATCCCGTGCAGACTCACTGTGTTGCCCTCCACACAGTTCTGCAAGTTCAGGCTGACCAACAGCGTTGGGACATTCCTCTATGTTGAGCTGATCTTGGCAGTGAAGGTGGCCATTTGTGACCATGAAGTAGGCAGAAGTCTGTCTTATCGGACTTGGCACGAGGTGGCCAAAGAGAGAGAGTCCCAAAGAGAGCGTGAGGCTGGAGAGGCTGCTGCACGGGACACGAGGCAAGGGAACGCCAAGAGTGGCAACATCATCCTCCGGACAGTCTGCTCAGTGTAGCAGCCAGTGATGAAAGCAGTGGAGTCTCACCAGTACCAGTGCTGAGTACAGGAGGACAGTCACTTCCCGAGTCCTACTCCCCACACTGTTCCTGATACAGGCCAAGATGCCATTGCCCTTCTTGGCCACCTGGGCACACTGCTGGCTCATGTTCAGCCCACAGGCCACCAACACCCCCAGGGCCTTTTCTGCCAGGCAGCTCCAGCCACTCTGCCCCCAGCCTGGAGCGCTGCAGGGGGTTGGTGGGACCCAAGGGCAGGACCCAGCACTTGGCCTTGTTGAACCTCATCGCATGGGCCTGGGCCAATCCATCCAGCCTGTCCAGATCCCTCTGCAAAGCCTTTCTACCCTCCAGCAGGGCAACACTTCCACCCAACTTGGGTGTTGTCTGCAAACTTACTGAGGGTGCACTCCATCCCCTTGTCCAGATTATTTATAAAGATACTAAAGAGAACCAACCCAAATACCAAGTGCTGGGGAACACCACTCCTGACTGGTCAGCTGTTGACAGGATTTAACTCAATTCACTACTACTATCAGCTGTCCCTTCTTATGGATGGGCATCACATTTGCTGGACACCAGTCAGCTGGGACCTCCCCAGTTTGCCAGAACTGCTGGTAAATGCTGGAAAGTGGCTGAGTGAGCGCTTCTACCAACTTCCTCAGCACCCTCGGGTGGATCGCATCTGGCCCCATAGACTTGTTCATATCCAGGTGTTGGAGCAGGTTCCCCACTAACTCACTTTGGATTACAGCTTCTGACTGGAAAGCAACCTGAAGACATTCAAATGTTTTGGTGGCACCCAAACTGGGTTGACACCCGCCAGGTGACACCTGCCCGGAGCCCACAGCTTGCACAAGAGTGGCTGATGAGCCCCTACACTGATAAAAGAAACCCTTAGGGAGAGCTAACTTAAGGGGATTAAGGGGAAAGCAAATGATGTGATTGATGGCTATCTTGGTCACAGTGACCATAAAGTAGCTGGGTTTCAAATCATTGGCAATAGGAGAAAAACTGTCAGAAAACCTGTGAGCCTGGATATGGGGAGGGCAGACTTATGGCTGCTGAAGGAGCTAGCTAGTGAGGTCCCCTGGGAATCTGCTTTTGAAGGTATTGGCATCCACGAAGGCTGGTCGCTTGTTAGGAGCCAGCTTCTAAGAATGCAGGAGCATGTAATTCCAAAGTATCAGAAGTCAAGCAAGTGGGACAGAAGGTTGGCTTGACTGAGCAGGGATCATCTTCTAAAAAGAAAAATATATGGACATTGGAAACAAGGACAAGTGACATGGGAGATGATGTTTGCCACTGTAGGGAGCAAATTCATGGGGCCAAAGATTAGAGTTCAAACTGGACAGCATTGTGAAGGTAACAAAAAAGGCTTATATAAGTATGTTAACAGCAAAAAGAGGATCAGAGATAACGTTGGTCTGTTATTTGATGAGGCTGGTCACCTCTCAAACAGGGACACAGACAAAGAATGGGTTTTCAGTGGCTTCTTCGCCTCTGTCTTTAACAACTGATGATAAGCCCTGGTACCCCCAGAACCCTGTGTTGGAAGACTGTGACTGGGGGGGATTGTAACTCGCAGCAAACGCCGAAATTGTTTGAGCCTTGCTGCTCCAGCTGAATGCCTACAAGTCTACGGGGCTGCATGGGATTCATCTCAGGGTACTGAAAGAGCTGGCTAATGTTATGGTGGGACCTCTCTCCATTATTTTTTAGTGGTCTGGGGAATCCCGAGAGGTCCCAGTCAACTGGACACTGGCAAACATTGCCTCAATTTTCAAGAAGGGAAAGAAGTAAGACCCTGACAGCTTCTCTGACCCTGTCCTCTATGCAGTAAGTAATAGAGTGTGCCTTGACATCAAATCTCATAAAACACTATCGCATTTACTACTGGTTTTATCGCACTTACTGCTGGTTTTGTTAAATCACTGTTTCACCTTAATAAATATTTCACTGCTTCACTCTAACTAGTGAAGTTAATCACTCCGCCCGTGACACTTGTTGTAGTTGGCAGGATGTCAGACCTTATCACTGATTATTCATGGAGGCATGGAGTAAACCCAAGTCCCAAATTCTCAAAGGAATGGGCTCGTGATAATTGGTAGAATTGGAAAGTTGTTGAAGAGCATTTAAAAGAAGTTAGAGGCCATACAAAGGATGGAAAAGATAAGGGAGTTATCTTAAATCTAGGGCTGGCAGATACACCCCATTCTATCACCAGCCGAGTAGCTTATTGGGCTGGAGGAGTTGACATTCTGGAGCGGGGTGAGCCCTCCCTAATCCCCATTGAATCTTTAAGTGAGTTACCCACAGCTATCACAAAAGCTGCTTGCATACAAGCCATGCATGAAAAAGGACAACATGATATTCTACTCTCTGCTACAGTAAATTTTGAAATATTAAAACCATTAATTAAAAGAGCCCCCGCAGTTCTTAAATTCCGACAAGTCGAAAAACAGGATGAGATTAGAAGAGATACCGAATTTAATGCACAGGGCAATTCCCCCCCAGACGACTTCCCACTTGGGCAGAATTAACGCACGACACCGTTAACTACAGCCGTGAGACAGGCTGGGATGCTGCAGCACTTGAAAAACAAAGACAGAAATTCCAGGGAGGAGATCATAAAGTAAGGCCCACAAAACAGGGAACAGAAATTAAATCAAAGGGAAATAAAAACTTGCAAACACAGACAAGGAACGAAGCGTGGAGGAAAGCATTAGCACTAGGCATTCCCAGATTCATGATTCAAGGTCGGCCTACTGGTGATACCCTGCGGCTAATTGAAGCATTCCAGAAACGAGACAGTGGTGCCTGCCGGATGGCCGGATGGCAGTGTATGGTCCTTTGGCTCAAAACCAAAGCTCCTTTGGCTTTGGTTTAAGCTCAAAGACCTTAACCCATGCAGAAACCGGGAAGCAGCAGTGCGGGTGCTCCCCGCAGCCCCTGTACTCCCCAAGTCAAAGATCACTAATGTACCACAGTATCCCATCTCTGCTGCAGCACGAGAGGGCATTTCTGAAGTCATAGCTGATTTAGAGAAAAGACAAATTATCTCCAGAACCCACTCCCCATATAACTCACCCGCCTGGCCGGTTTGGAAACCAGATGGGAGGTGGCGTTTAACAGTCGATTACCACCGTCTGAATGCTAATGCGGCCCCACTAATGGCCGCTGTACCAAACACTGCAACCTTAACAGCTACTCTGCAGGCAGCTGCACATCCGTGGAGGCAGCACTGGACATAAAAGATATGGTTTTTATGGTTCTGTTGAGGGGCGAGGATAAAGAAAAGTTTGCTTTTATGGAAGCCCTATAAGCCGAGCATTCTTTGTAAAAACTGAGCTCAGTGCCCCATCCACTGACAAAAGAGAATATCTGACAACATTACAGCCAGGACAGCCTGTGATGGTCGATTTACCAGCCATAGGTATTGTGCCCATGACTTTAATTAAACCTCGAGGCCCACGTGCCTGGGAAGATACCGACAGCAGTGGTGCAAAACACAGAATTAGCGCGCAATGAATTTTTCCTTCTTTTTAACGGGGTAACCTGTTTGGACTCTCCCCACTGAAACAAGCCTTTGGTTTTTTTTTCTCTTACAGCACTACAAGATGTCAAATGGAAATGCCGTGTTTCTGCTGATACTCCAAACCTCAACAATGCTGCTCCTAACCTGTGGTCAACGAACACCAGAATAGCCATGGTCTCAAGCTCATGTTAAGTATACTGGGAGTATGGGAATACACTCTAGTAAGGGAAATTTAAATCTTTCCACTATGCATGGAGACAAAGTATACTCAGAAAATGAATGGAACTGGGATACGGATGGAGCCGATAGAGTTCTTCAACTTCAGGGAACAACAGGGTTTATTTGTGAAAGTAACGCCATCAGTAAGTAATAGAGTGTGCCTTGACATCAAATCTCATAAAACACTATCGCATTTACTACTGGTTTTATCGCACTTACTGCTGGTTTTGTTAAA